TCGTGATAGAGCCTAAAATTAATCTCATGCAAAGCCCAAGATATATCCTCCATGGTCCTTGTGAAAAGGGAACATGAAAGATTTGACCAAGTGTTATTGATCAGAATTTAAAAAGTGGAAATGAAGGTTTCCACATATCTCTAATTTCTGCCTTGTGAATTCAGCCTGCAATAGAATTAACCTACAAAAGAAAATAAATTGTGGCAGGACTACAGATACAGATCAAGGCTGTTTTAGATTAAGTTCTCTGTATATATCATGGTTCTGTACCATCTGTTTTGTATCGAAAAAGAATAATACTTAAGGCACATTTATTACAGTAAGAATCTTAAGAGCTCACATACTCCTTTAAAATACATATTGAAATCAAAGACAAAGTCCTACATGGGAAACTGAAGGTCCTCGGCATCTTTCAAGAGACAGTCAATGATTCTATGATAACACTGTAAATAAAAAACATCCCTAATGTACATGATTCTTGCCTGCATCCTGTAAAAATCATCACCATTACTTATATTGCACTACCCATATTTTACACACATATTCTGTAAGTTACACAGAATAAACTTCAATCATGATACTCACTGACAAATTTCTGTTACACAACTATATTTATGGAGAATTTTATGAAAGGAATGTATTTGCTTCCTTCTAGCCATGCATGGATCTACTTAATTTTCCTATACTAGACTTCAGATAAACTGGATTTAAAATGCATACAGCCTTTTATTTATGCACTGTATATGAAATTCATGCACAGTGTTGTTGTTGGTGTTGTATAACTTTCCTCTCACCATTCTGATTTCACAACGTCCTCAGTGAATTCATTATTTTTGTTAGCAAATAAAATCTTGATGAATAACCACATGCTATCCTTGAGCACTGCAGCTGGGTGTTCCTCCAAACAATTTCAGCCACTCGCCCATGCTAGGAGAACTCACAGTTGTCGGCTTAAATGAGTTATCCAACCTCATGATAGACCCAGAAGGGCCCTACAGGGATTTGGGAATTTTTAATGATTCCTAGAATTTGGATTTACAAAGACCACTTCCCCGCAGACTTTCTGGCTCTGGAAATCACAGCAGCAGCAGCAGAGTTAGCTGCACACTGGGCTGCACTAGCCGCAGCGTAGCCAGCTGGCTGACAGAAGTGACTACTCCCCTCAATTCGGCACACACGGCCAGTTTTGGCAGCCCCAGCACAAGGAAGGCATGGACATACCGCAATGAGTCTGGCAGACAGCTGTCAGGGTGTCTAAGGGACCAGAGCACCTAACGTACATGGAGAAGGTGAGATACCTGGGGCTGTTCAGCCTGGAGAAGAGGCGGCTCAGTTGGAAACCAGCTGCTGCTTTGAACTTCATGTTCGGGGCTTATGGACAGGATGAAGCCAGACTTATCTCAGAGCTGCACAGGGTAAGGACAAGAGACAACAGTCAGGCAGCAACAAAGGACTTTCTGAGGGAACACAGAAAAAAAAAAAAAAAAAGTCCTCTCTGAAGTTGTTAAAGCACAGAAACAGGTTGCCCCAAAGGCATAGGGATCCATCCTTGAAGACACTCAGAATTCATCTCGACAAGGCCCACCGCGACTTAAAAGCTCTGCCCTGCCTTGAGCAAGGGGATGGATTTGATAACCTCCAGAAGTCCCTTCCAACTAAATTCCAAGCCTAAGTGCATGGGTTGCTACTCCTTCCACTACAATACTTCTCCTATCTAGTTTTTCACCATCGATACACTAAATCTGTCATCTGTATCCCCATAATCTTGCATCCTGATTAATTCAAAACTGCTGTTTTCAGGCCATCTGTTATGCATATCCCCCCCTCAACTGAGTATACACAAAATACAGTGGCTATGATATTCCCTGACCACAATTTTGATGTTACTGCCTTTTTGTGTCTCATCACACCACCGCTTATCTCCCCCCACAGCGCAGTGGATTTGTTTGCCAATTTGTCAGATTCTGCCACCGGGATCTGCCTGTGTTGGCAGATCCGCACGGCAAATCACACACCGTGACTACTGCTTCTGAGCTGGTGCATAAACACCTTCCAGCCTTCCCCTTCTCCCACACAGAGTTCATTTACTGCAATTTTTTTTTCCCAAGAAGCTGTCAGATGATGTCTACCGAGAAGGGTCACGGTGTCTGTCAATCTCCTTCTTTAAAATGATTGCATATTTTATGTGTTCTCCAATACTTTTAATGTGGTATGTCTTCAATTTCTCAGCAAACCTCAGAAATTATTCACCTTCCGTTAAATAATTAGAGCAGTTTTCCAAAGTGCATAGATTCCCAAAGACACGAAGGGACGTGCTTTTCTCTAAATGCCTATTCAGGGTAAACACCTCATTTCCAGAAATACCAAAGAGGCAGGTGTGCCCTTTTTCAGCATATTTATCCTGCCTTGATATTTTTCAAAGTCCCACCAGGCAGAAGTCTGCAGACTTAGCTATGCAAGTCTTGAAAATTTGGTTCACAACATGACACAAGAACAATAGCAACAATAAAAATACTGCAAAGGCTCGTGATTGATCTCCAAGCTGTTTTACAGTCCAGTATTCCTTAGGGTTTCCTCTGAATATGAAAATTAAAGTGAAAACAGAAAAGAAACTTCTGAAATTTATACAGTCTGTTTTTGTGCTCCTGACTGTTTCTTTGATGTATGTTCAACTGCAGTGGAAATCTGCAGTTGAAGTGGGAGCGAACACACTGCAGAAGGGCAGCAGTAAACTGGGAAGTAACCAGGAGCAGTTGTGAGTAGTGGGGGTGAATTAATTCCTAACAAAACAAGCCTTGAAACAAACAACAAACTACACCTTTACAATACAAGTAAATTGCATGTGTACAACACATACAAACATAGCCAAGCAGGTGTAATCACCACAGGACTGGATGCTTATTTTCACCAGACTGCCCTGCCACGGCTTTGATATTAGAAATGGAGCCGTTGCGTAGCTGTCTTGTCTCGAGTGGGATGGAGGTTAAATCCATTAGGCCCCCTAAGGTTTAGTAAGTATGGGAATCCCTTATCACTGTAAGAAGCTGCATTTCAGGGACAGACTTAAAAAATAATTTGTATCACACAGCTTCCCAAGCCCCAGCTAGAGAGAGTGACAGAGACAGGTTCCTCCACTGGGCATTTCAGAGCAGGAGCCAGACTGTAGATCTTTGTAGTGTCCCCTGAAGTCACAGAATCACAGAATGGTTTGGGTTGGAAGGGACCTTCAAGACCACCCAGTTCCAACCCCCCTGCCACGGCAGGTTGCCCAAAGCCCCATCCAGCCTGGCCTTGAACACCTCCGGGGATGGGGCATCCACAGCTTCTCTGGGCAGCCTGTGCCGGTGCCTCATCAGGCTCTAATCGGAGATTTTCTTCCTTATATTTAATCTAAATATATCCTCTCCTAGTTTAAAACTGTTTCTCCTTGTCCTGTCACTACAGGTCCTCATAAAGTCTCTCTCCATCTTTTTTATAAGCTCCCCTATAAGTAATGAAAGGACTAGAAATAGACCATGAACACAAGGGTGAAACTCAGCCTGCATATCAATAAATATATATAAATATCAATACACATAAATTTGGGTATATGCATGTAAATATCCGTATGTCAGTCAGGTGCCTAAGCTCCCATTTTGTCATGGTATTAGTCACTCCAGCCATGGAGTCTGTAAAACTGTGCAACTGAGTGAACAGGCATGTACGATTGCTTATACCTGCATCGTGCTGCTGGACAGATTCACCTGGCAGCATGATGGATGACACAGGGTGCTGTTCTGGCCTCCTGCTGCTGTTCCAGAAAAACACTGGTCTCCCACAAATCTGGCTTCAGATCTGCCAGCTGTGGATGAATACCACAGGGCGTCTCAGATAACACTAGATAGCTCTGTTGAGGGCTGTGAATTGGCTCTAGGTGTTTGTGCTGGGATGAGCTCAGTTTTGTTCTAGCTTTCACTCAATGTCCTGGCTAGATTGCCACCGAGTATAACAACTCCAGTGAGTACAGTAACGCGTGCAGATTTCCCTATGTAGACACAGAAATCTGCAAACAAAAGTCACTCCCAAAGGTCTGATTTGCATACACAGGCACCTGTGGTGGCATCTGAGATGTCCTAGAGTCCTGTGTACCTCCCATGGTCTCCAGCAGGTCACTACAAAGAGAGAACTGGTCTTAAGACACATTTGGCAGCTACCTGAAGGAATCTCAGGTTCTCAATCATAGAATCATAGAAAAATTAAGGTTGGAAAAGATCTTCATGATCACCTGGTCCAACCATCCTCCTATCACCAATGTCACCCACTAAACCATGTCCCCAGGCACCACATCCAACCTTTCCTTGAACCCCCCCTGGGATGGTGACTCTACCACCTCCCCGGGCAACCCGTCCCAATGCCTGACTGCTCTTCCTGAGAAGAAATGTCTCCTAATTGTTTTAATTGTTGACAAGTAGTGCTCTTTGTTCAATTCTTTAATTGTTGAAGAGTAGAGGCATGATGTGACATCACCTGACTGCCAGGACTTTTCAGCTATGATGCAGAGAGGCTTGGCAACTCCATCAGCCAGTTCCCTCAGGACCCTGGGATTCATGTCATCAGGTCCCACAGACCTGTACCTGTTTAGATTCACCAGGTGGTCTTGAACCTGTTCTTCACGTACAGTGGGTGGGACTTTGCTCCCCCAGCCTCCATCTATGGGTTCAGGGAAATGAAAGGCTTGGGAAGCCCATCTACCAGTGCAGACGGAGGCAAAGAAGTTGCTGAGTACCTCAGTGCTCTCCATGTCTGTCGTTACCAGTGGTGGCCACTGTAACCTCAAAAGCCTCTGTGATGGAGTGGCCCACGCGTGGCCAAAGGCGGCTGCATTGGGAGAGGCCTACGATGGCTGAAAAGACATGTGGTACCTTTCTGTGCAGGCAGCTAAGTCCATGGCTTATACATAGCTTTTTAATTAATATATTAACAATAAAAAAATAAACTAATTATAAAATACACTGAAATGATTAAAATAAAATTGTAAGAAATCCAGAGGAATGAAAAAAAAATTGTCACCAGGTATTATTCAATTTCATACGTTAGGTGAATCAGTCGTTGGCACGCTGGAGTGGAAAGTGAGTCCAGTTCCTGCCACCTTTGGCACGACATCCCGTGATACTCTCCAAAAACACGAGTTCTGTCCTTGAGCAGATATCACCTACTGCTCTTCCAAGTAACAGCCAAATGTGTTAATCAGCTATAGCTCCCAGAAATATGTGATAGTCAGACATATGCAGTGCATTTCACCGGAAGGACCCACACTTTGATTGTTTCTTGTGCTCTTTCCATTATTTTGGAACATGTTTAGACCATGATATCACTCAAGCTGGATATCAAGCTGTAAGTTACAGGGTATCTGTTTTCAACTATCTGTCCACAACTTTGTTAGAGAAAGCAGAAGCACTTACTAGACAAAAACTCTGCATTTTTCATCTCTTCAGAATAAAAACTGCAAATAATGATATCATCCTTTCACTACCTCTGTCCATTTTGGACTATCACCCACATAAAACCTGATGTTTTGGTCTATCTTATGCCAAACCAAAAAGGGAAGAAATAAATTCCATACTGATATATCAACACAGAAAATTACTCTTTTTCAAAGTGGTCTTAAAAATAAAGATGGAGTAAGGAAAGATAAGTTATATAACTAATACATTAGCTTTGTACTGGTTTGTCTATGTAATGGGGCATCAGGAACATCTGTGGCTGGACTCCAGGCTACACAGTCAACAGAACTTAAACCCACTGACTAGAACTGAGATGAGGATTTGGTTTTAATTTCAAAGGAAGTAAGCACTGGTCACTTCCTATATCTTTTTTCATTTGGGGCTTGAAAATCTTTAGTGGAAAATTAAAAAAAAAAAAAAAGATACAGGAGGAAGGATACAAATGCCAACTTGGTGCCAAAATTTCTGTGGAATGTGTTTGAAAAAAATGAAATCAGTGTACATCAAAATTATAGAAAACTTTGCCTGCCAGAAGATTAAGAGGTGCTAGATTATAAATAACTGCGTTAAATTATTAATATCTGTGAATATAACCACTGGCAAAATCTTAAATAATAGTGTCTATATCAGTCCAAACATTTGTGTACTGAACTCACCAGAATACCCCCAATGCATCCACATCATCATCATTTAGCACAACATATTAATTACAGTTTGAACTTGACAGCCATGACCAGCTTATACACACACTCCGAAATAAAGCTCAACCCGTGACCATACTTAGAGTAAAGGATTCTTTTCTGGTTTTAGATCACTTGTTATAACAGTCAGTATTTTTGCTTTAATGTTATTACAATATTCTGTCCTTCTTCAGTAGAGAATTTGAAAATATCTGACTTGTTTTCTTGCTATCTGTTGCTCCGGGAAGCACAGTGTGGGTCTAACCTTCTATCTTTTCTATCTGAGAGATGCGAGTGATTGTGCAGGGTGTGAGTCTGTGGCAATTGGGTTCACAGCATCACTGAATTTAGACTTCAGACCTGCCAAGTATTTCATGCTGCTTGCAGGGCTCATGCAGTTAGCTCCTGCCTGGCATTTTCTTGCAGCTGGGGATCCAACGCACACATTTACTCAGCATTTACACAGATGCTTTGATTTGGTGCATGAAATCATGGAGCAGGAATGAAGCTGTTGCATGCCCGTGCTGTCCTAAAAGAGCCTTCTGCTCTCAGAGGTCCTACTGAGGGGTGCACTTTCTGGATGCAGCCCAGCTCCGTGTTAGCCCACCACTCAGTGCTCCCTCTGTCCCCTGACCTAGCACAGCATTCTCACAGGTACCAAAATAAACAGGACCTGAGAGCACTGATACCTGATGCCATACAACGTGCAGAACTTGGAGTTTAGAATAAAGCAGACCGTGCAATAAATCCCCCAGTATTATATTTAGTAATGGTATCATTTGTGTCATTCGGGAAAGTGATCTTGATTTGTAAAACCCCACAGCTCTGAATAAATCACTTCCACAGTGAAGTATTTGACTGATGAGACACTAACTGTCCTATAGTGAGGAAATTATTCAGACTGGGAAGATGACAGGTTCAGAGCACGAAAAACAATAAGCCATAGAGAAGCTGGAAAGAACAGCATGTACAAAAGACCAAAGGGCAATTGTCAGTATCCCTGAGTAATGACCATAACAACAGGTGCTAAAACATACAATACAGCTATATAGCACTAGCCAATTTCTAGACTGGCAGAAAGTTCAATAGCCAAGTGAAACCCTTTATAACCGAGAGAGTCTCATTAGCACAATGAAAGGGACAAATAAAAATTGGTAGAACCCATTACAGTTGCCTGCAGTGTGAAAAAGCCTCCTGTTTTTCCATTTTCATTTGATCTCCCTATGCTATAGCTAATATAACAGTTGCCAAGTGGAAAAATAAGTAGAATCTTCAGTTAAAAATGACTACAGCTTTGAAATTGTTATAATTTCTTTCTTCATCTTTCATTTCAACAAGATTCCTGTCTTACCAAGTACACTATATAATTATTCCAGGTTTTACTTGTGAAGATGTGTATCCTTTCTTATCTAGCCTGCCTGTCATATCTTGTTATAATTTACAGAAATCTGAAATATGCTGTTCTGATAAACCTGTCAGAATAATGAGAGAAATATGTATAGTTAATAACTGTGTTAGGGTTTCTACATTATTCTGAGATCGATAGAAGTGAATATTATGAATAACACTCTAAATGTAATTTATAAAAATGTATAAATCCTTGCCAGTTGTTTCAGTTTACTAACACTTTTGAAATCTTATCAGGTATTAATTGCTAATAAGCATGATTCACTATGACTTACTTGCACTGATTTACTGCTCTCAGTGGTGAAGTAAGCAAACACAAACTGGCATGAAGCACTCCTGAAAATGGAAAAAAAAAAAAAGTTTTGGTTATCTATAGGCCTGCCAAGTATGAAGTAATATTTGTTCTAAAGCACATCAGTATTTCTGCGTTGGTCTACAGTACTGATGTTACTCTGAGCCTTTTTCTGTGTATAAATTCACAAACACTTTACAAAAGAGAAGGAACTCTGCTGTAACACTGTGCAGCAGAGCTGAGCTAGCTAGAGATATGAAGTGTTATCAGACTGTCAGCTGGGGAAACGCTGCATCCAGATTCATTAGGTCCAGCCAGGGAGACCTGAAGGGATATTTAGCTGAATCTTCTCCTGTATAATTGCTAATGACTTCAATGTTAACTTCAAGAGGTCTGAGAACAGAAAGCATAAGCCCCAGAGAATGATTTTTTTGTCTGAAAGGCACATTAGCTTTAATCCTAAGCATATGTCCCTGCCTCCTTCATGAATGCAGGGAAATCCAACAGAATAAGCAATTCTGTCCTTTGATTTATTTCTCTGACTGCTTATGCTTCAGCTTTGTCATCAAGTGATCCATTTCAGCCTCATCTGTGCCCCCTGCATCCCTTTTATTTCTGCTCTTTCTCATTGCAGTTCTTCTTGCTGCTGCCGCCTCCCCAGACATGCACACGGAGATCTTGGCATGAACATTTAATGACGAAGGCCTTCAGAAATTAGAGAACTAATTTTTTAAAAATTGTTTTGTCTAGTTGATAGCTTGCAGCACCAAGCCAAACAAAATCATTAAATGGCTCAATGGGCTAAGATCAAAGACGGACACCTGCGAGCAGAATCCTCTGTTATCCTTTCACTGTCAGAAGTAATTGTTGCTAATTGAACAAGTTTGTTTAATACTAAAACAGCCCAAGAGACTATATTCTGAGCTGCTGAAAATAGAGCTGGTTCTGCTGAAGTCAGCTACACTAATCCATACCAACTGAGGAACTGACACAAGGAGACAAACAGTTAACCCTTTGCTTAAAGGCATGGGCTGCACAACCAGTGTTGCAACTGAAATACGTCTTAAAACTTGGTCTGATAAAGAAAAAAAAAAAAAGTTTTCTTGGCTACTTTTATCTGAGAAGCTATTAAGCACACACTTTCATATAAGGAGTCTAGAAGATGTCCAATGATGAAGGTAAAACTTAAAACTTTGGAAGGACTGCAAGAAGAAACTAGCCAGCTTCAAAGACTGGTTTGCCTTTGCAAGAAAGCAAGCTCCTCTCCCCTATAATCAAATTTAACACATAACTACAATCAACCAGCAAGCAGTGAAAAACACAGTTTTAGCACATAGATTTAAATGGTTAGAAAGTAAATAATCACAAATCCAGCATATCTTCAAATCAGGCATCTTATAAAAAGAACTTGAAATAAAGTTTGGTTCTATCAGTCTCATGTTAAATCATGGCACAGTGAATGGAAAAAAAAACAACAAACCAACAACCCAACAAAACCAAGCAATCATCACAATGACTTCCTGTGATATCAAATGAGATAGAGGTTTGAGATATAGGTCTGTTAAACATATCACACCGCCTTGATCATCAACAGCAAAATTTTACACAAGCAATGCTTTGAGGTAGCAGCACACATTAAAACTGAAAGAATATCATTTAGGGAGAGATTAAAAAACAACTGTTATTGTAAACATAAGGAGTATTTATTTCAGAATCAGAGCTGGCTCCTTCACTCTGCTAAGTGAAGAGAGCCTACAAATACCTCCAGTAAAAGCTCAACTTATCCTGTCTTTCTACCTGGCCATTCACGTGTTCCTGTTTTATTAGGGCTTCCTGGATTGCCCATGCAATACTGAGCTGCTGTGCCAACAGCCAAGTAAATCCCAGAGCTGAAAAGCCTCCACATTACCGAGGCTGACACAGGCACAGTCTGCAGAGAGGTAGATGGGGGCAGCTACATGGATAAACACAAGCAGATGCCTGCTGCATCTTGTGGTGCTCAGCAGCAGGCTGAATTCCTTTGAGCCCCAGTGTTGACCCCAATGCTATTTACTCACAGTGCTCTTTTACTACTGTAATTGGTTTTGTTTATCTCTTATATTCTATCCTTTCACTTTTTACCTTTACCATTACCTTTTGCTCTTACTACGTTGCAATTACACCATTAATAAATGAATAAATCACTGAAGAAACTAAAACATTGTGAAGAGAGCTTGCTAAAACTCACTCATGTAAGTGCACAGGCGTGACAGCGGTGATATTTTCAGCATGCAAGAAGTCCCCCTTTTTTTGGTCTAAGTGGCTTTCCAAAACCAAGAAACAGTAAGAGCCGTTGCCCAAAATTCAGGGTGCAGCTAGATCCCACCAGTGACTGAGCCAGGTGTGTGTACCTGGCACTGGGACCTGGAATTTGGTGCCAACCCCAGGGGATATGCAACATGCAGCAAGCAGTAATGTAGGCCTGGCATCAACAGTTTTTGGGACAGGGCTGTCTGGAAAGAGGCTTGGAACTATGAGCAAAGAAACGTCTGTGGATGTGCAAAGAGGACATTACTTAAACGATTTCTAAATAAACAAGATTATATTTTAATGGTGTGTCTCTAGCTTGATTCCAGACTACAGAGCCTCACTATTAGCTAATTGCGCATGGTACAAGGGAAGAACATACAGAAAGTATACAAACAAGACACAGAACAGGTATTTAAACACTGCTTAGCAATTCTACATTGTCTGTGATAGTGTCTCTGACTTCAGGGTAACCACAATGAAAAAGGAGACAGTACCATCTGGCCTAAAAAAATAATAATAAAAAAAAGCTTTTAGATGCACCACTTGCTGGTGGCTTCCTAGTTAGGTTAGTGAAGACATGAGGCTCCATATATTATGGAAATATATACAGTTACCACATTTATCTTTTTTATTTATCTCAGACAACTTGCAAAGGTTTCCAGGCTGAGATGCAATGCTGTGACATCGTGCTGTGTGCTGCAGTGCGTTATCTGTAAAGGCCAATCTATTAGAGCACACATCATGTAAAGAAATTGTTTTAAATGATCACCAAAACACAGAGACATGAAGTTAGCAGGTAACTTTTCAGATCCTGATCTATATTACTGTAAAAGAAAGCTGCCCAACACCAGACTCTCCAGAACAAAAGTCCTGGGCATCCGACAAGAACCAAACCTGCATTAGCTGAAAACAGTGGGCCCAGGGCTGCTGGTTTTTGTGTGCTCAGCTGCACGCATCCTGTATCAGAGACCAAAACCTATGAGCTCTCCAGTTTGCATCTTTCCCCTTCTTATCCCCTGCTTTGGTTTCTTCAATAAGGTCCCTGGATATGGACAGTGAAGAAAAGATCCCAGGGTGCACAGAAGCAGCTCTCATTCAGTCTGGGTACAGTCATGTGTGTGTCTACCTGACACACAAAGGGAACCAAAACACCATTATATATACTCTAAAAGCCTGTTTCAATACCCTCTGCATTAGAAACCACACCTTGACGTTGCTGTCCAGGGGGATGTCCATGTCTGGAAAGTTTTTTCTGTGTTCATAGTATCCGTCCATGTAAGGCAACAGAACACAAATTTTTACTACTCTGGACAACAGTGATTTTACAAAACCACATAGCATGTAGTCTCATTCTGATTTATGCTTAGTAAAAAAAATGCTAAGCTGTGATTTCTGAGTACGTATCGACTCAGAAATCAGGACTAGGCAAGTACAGAATGTGTACTTACACTAAAGGCAAAGGGAGTGCAAGATCCAACAAGCTCTACCGGAAAAGAAAAAGCAGAAGACAAAGGAGGGCTGTGTTGCACAACATGTTGGTTGTTCAGCATCCTAAACTAAACACAGCTCTGTAACATTCAGCGCAGATGCCCTAGCAAATGCTCCTGAATGCACTCTGCCAAAATACCTCAAATGACCGGGCTGATGACCAAATTTTTAATATCCAGAAATAGGTAACATTTTGGTAGGCTGACAACATGTCAGGAAAGTTTTCAATGCAAATAATGCAGAAAAAACAAACAAGCAAACAAACAAAAAAACACACACACAACCAAGAACTGGATGGTAATCAAGCTAGGAAATGTGGTTGAAATTAAAAATAATTTAAAGTTAAAACAAGAGCCTCAGTTCCACGTGGTTGCAGGGTGACTGTCCTAAAGCACTGCTAGTTTCCCTTCATGCGCTCATCTTTCACTCTGCTTAGCTTTTATAGGAGCAAAAATACAAGAGCTTGGCTAGTTTAAACCTATATTCAAGCTGTGAATTACATTATTCTGACGATAGGGCCTGGCACCACCAACAGGCTTTGGAGACAGCACTGCTGGCACCTTTCAAGTTACCCATGGGCTCATTAAGCGGTTGGCCAGGAAGATGCTGGATTCTCATCTCCAGGCTGAGTCTGGCAAAAACATTCCAAAACAAGTGTTTCCTTAAAGATTAGTTGGGCGTGGGAGTAAATAGATGCTCTGACTTCTACAAAAAATCCTGACTATGAAGGGGAGAGGAAAGCAGTTTGAAGATAGTTTGGTATCTCTAAATATCTGACTTAAAAATATTTCAGAAATAACAGATTTACACACTCTTACAGCTAAACATCTAATAGCACAAGGGATAGAGGTATCCCAGCTAAAATTAAGGAATGAGATAAATAACATTTAATAGCAATATATGAGGTAATAAGCTCAATAACCAGAGATTTTTTAATCTCTGAACTAATTTTCTAAACCCAAAGAGCATTTTCAGTGAATAAAAAATCAGAGCTTTCATTGAAACTACCACATTTTTCAGCAAACCTTATTTGTATAACTTTTCTTTGCATAACTTCAAACTTAGAAATGTTTGCTTCTTTTTGGATTTCCAAACTCAGAAGAAAAATCCCTACATTAAAGACTCCTTGTCCCTCTCTCAGCTGCAGACCTATTTTGCCTCAACTTTTTTAAAGTTACACAGTAAGCAAAAGGAAAATTAAAATGTAATTCTGTACTCTAGACTGTTTTCAGAGTTGAGAAAGTTATGTAAATTACAGAGTAGATTAATGAAGAGGAACTAAAGAAAAGCAAAAAAAAAAAATTGCTCAATTTCCCTTCCAAACAAGAAACAAAGGGAGGAATACAAAGGAAGCAAAACATTAAAACGATGAATGAGAAATGAGAATTCTAAATCTATAATTAAAAGAGCAGACTTTGACCAAGAAAATATTCTGTTTTGAATACTACAGTAGTGAAACAAGTTAAAAATATTCATTAAACTATCTTCTATATTTTGCAAGTCTAGCCTTCAAAGCCAAGATAAGAACAGAGTTGTCATTCCTTGTCGAAACACAGCCTTTGGCAAGGCTTACCGGGAACAGTGTTGCTATAAGAATGGAAATGATACGGCATAATTTGTCCTGAGGATACTACAGAGCACTTTATTTCTGAAGGCTGAAGTTGTAAACTGAAATTTGGGAAAAAAAAAAAAAAAAAAAAACTTTATTAAAACATAGTCTCTGTGTTCCTTCATCAACACAAGAGAGAAAGGCCTCTGAGAACATCTGATGTCAATCCTAGGATGTCCAGGATGACACTTAGTAATATGCTGGAGAATTGATTCAGTTTAGCTTTAAGAAGGATCTGTGTCTTTGAAAACAAGTGATGCTTTAAAATATGTTTGCTAACACGCTGTGAAAACATTTAGGCAGAATTATCCGATATTTTAGATGTATGGTCAAAAAGGTGATTCCTTCAGTAAACCCTTCCTTCAATCCTTCCTTACAGTCATCATTTAACATCTCTTGACAACATACAGTTTTCACCACCTTAGACATCAGGTCCATTTATGTTAGCTAAGCTGTTGGGTTTTATAAACCAAAAAATATAATCGGCAAGGTGACTTAAAATACAGCCTCATTTTCTTAAGATACACATGCCCTAAGAAACAAGTGTGCCACCTACTGATTCACCAGATACCACTGAGGCATACCCTTCCTAATTTTGTATTGCTTCTGTGCTGCAGCAACTGTATTTGAGGACATTAATGAACATCAGCTCAAAACACTCTGCATGATAATGTCCTGTCACTCAGAAGTATCCTGTTTCATAGCCAGAATTTCAGGTATAGAAATGCTAAGGTATTTTCAAATGTATTTAGTCATTTCAGTTAAACAACCAAATTGGTTTCATTTTATGAGTTTATTTGGAATCATACAGGAAGTCTATGGCAGAGCTGAGACCTCAGCTCCAAGATTAAAACTTTCACTGCTGAACCACCTGGAATGTCATATCAAAGGAAAACCTGCCAAAAAATACTCCTGCAGTGGGAGGGCATTTTTGAGTAGTCCCAATCCATCCAATCCATACCCTTGGTGAAGGCAGGGTGCCTGCAGAAAATGAAGACTTACAAATCTCACTTGCAAGCCAAAAGAATGAAAGGCTTGTTCATTTTTTATTTTTTTTTTTCCTAGAGAAAGAGGTCAATTTACATCGATATTGGGTATTTTAATGTGAGAAGTAATATACCAAACTGAAATGAGATGATGATATGTTGTAAATTCATTATTCCCAAAGCCAGCTGCTTCTTGTCAGAGAAGGAAAGCTCCTTTTAAGTGTCTTCTGAGACTGACATAAAGCAAGCTATATGACAAGACTGTATGTACTGTATGTCATCATGCATTTCTTAAAGCATAAAATATGAGTGTTTTTTTTTTTTTTTAAATGGAAAAAAGAATTATTTCAGACAAGCAATCCAGCAAATAATAATTCCACTTCTGATGTTTCAGGAAATGAGAAACAACTCCCCCAGTGGTGCTTTCAGTAACACTAGAAAGATAATTTGAAACACCTCAACATGCAAATTTCCAACACTTAAATTCAAAAACTACTTTGATTTAGCAGTAGCTTATGTGCTTAAAGACCTTATGAAATTAAATATTAAAAATGTTGTTCCATAATATTCTTTCAGATATGTTTTTAATCCACACTTGATTTATTTTTGCAGAAGCCTTAATTTAATCAAATTGATAGGACATTTGGCGCTGTTCCTTCACAGGAAAGCATACAAATTCGGTAGTGGCTTTGTCATAAGCTAAATCATCAGAAGAAATTTCATTAAAACGTGTAGTTAATAAAGTCCTTATTCACTCTATTAGGTATTTAGTTTCTAGAAAACTCTTTAATTTCATAATCTCCTATCTTTAATGCAATCTGTATTATCCTGTTTCGTGTATATTTTTGTAGTGCTAGAATAAATTAACTTTCAGTAAAATATTTCTGTCATTTGTGAATATTGGTCAAAGTTGTGAATTTTCATGACATTTTGTAACTGTTCTCATTAGTCGTCTTCCTTTTTCTCCTTATTAGTATGTTGTTACTTAATGACACCCTCAGAATATTTTCACAACATTAAATTAAAAAAATGTTTTCCTTGATATATTTGTACAATTGTGCCAAAACATAATAACAATACTGCAATTATATGGCTGTCACACAGTGCTTGATTGCCTCTTACCCATGGTAAACACAGATAGAAATAAAGACAGAAAAGATAATCTCTGCAAAATTCATTTCCATGGCATGACAATACCACTTTTATCTAGACCGTGGAGTAGGTAAAGTGCCCACAATGTGCTCACAGTCTTTAACTTCCAGTCACACAACTGAACAGAAATCCATACTGGGCTAAAGAACACAGAAGGGATGTGTCTCACCTGGCGTGGAGTCAAAATGCCACAAGAGCACACACCTGGAGGTGCTTCAGGGTCCTGGAGGTTAGACCTGTAAACATGGCATGAATAACAGAGCTGAGGAGAAGCTCTGAAGCATGCTCATCTTTCTCCAGGTCATCTGTTGCTGTTCTTCTTGCTGTTGTCTGTACGCCTGTCTACTTCACAATGCAGATGCATGCTCTTCATAGAGTTTGTGTGACTGTTTCCAATCTGCACGAAGCACTTTTATCTTCAAGTAACTAAACCCTTTGTTCCAGGACTGTCTTGAAACACAGCAATTGCGCACCTGATTACCACTTCTCTTTTCACGTGGATTCTACATTGTCAAAAGTTTGTGCGACAGTTTAGATGGAAATAAAGATGTAACTAAGTGGAGATTGGCCAGAATTATGTTTGAAATAGCCATAAGAACAATCACCACCGAAGATATGTAAAAGGAAAGCTATTGTTATAGAGACCATTGAGTTTCTGGTGAGCTCATCCCAGCCAGCAACTATGCATTCACCAGCAACTTGCTCACTACTCACACTCAGCGGGATGGGAGAAAGAATCGGAAAAGCAAAAGTGAGAAAAAAAATGTGGTTCAAGATAAAGATAGCACAATAAGTGAAGGACAAAAAAGGAAAAATAAATGATGTAAAGGCACCAGCTCTGACAAGCAGACTGATGTCCAGCCAGTTTACAGGCAATGGCTACTTTGGTGAGACTACCCCCCAGTTTTTATTGCTGAGCTATATTAGTACAGAAAAACCCCATGGTCAGTTGGGGTCAGCTGTCCCAGCTCAGCCTCTTGCCCACCCCCAGCCTCCTCACTGTGGGGGCAGTGTGAGAATGAGAAGGCCTTGATGCTGTGCAAGCACTGCTCAGCAACAGCTGAAACACGGGAGTGTTATCAGCACTGTTTTAGCCACAGATCTACAACACAGCAACATACTAGCTGCAGTGAGGAAAATTAGCTCCATCCCAGCCAGCCCCAGCACAGAGTTTAAACCCAAATCTTTGCCTTCTGTAGTTACATTCATCTCTCCTTACATTTGTCATCTGCAGTGCCTCTTTAGAAAAATAAAGACCCACAAGAAGTTTGTGAAGCAGGTGACTTGCCTCTCTCTACCAAGCAGCTACATTTTTTCCCCCTTCTTTCCCTGTCTCTAATATCCATTGTAACTATCAAAGATCAGTGGGACTTCATGGAGAGTCAGTCAGTCTGAGACTGGCTTTAGATCTTCAGTATGATTTCTCTGGTTAGATACAGATCAGTATAAATGGCTCCGACTTGTTATCGCAGCTGTTTCTAGTGAAGGTGATCGTAAATCTCTACGTTTTCTACGGGAGTGGTGATGGTAAAAGTGGAACAAGACACCATTATGTATGGGGCTTGTTTACAACTAAAAATGACCCACCAACTCTTCTGCTACAACTGTAATCACATTTATCACAGAATAAACCAACAAGGCCTGGACCTATTTGTGCTACGATCTCTGCAGATTGATATGGATTATAAAAATAGAACTGAATTTATACTTGCAGTGCAACGTAATAAAAAATCTGGGAAGAAAGGAATGAGATATGTGATAAAAAAGAGATCACAGGAGAGAGTTAATAGTAGCTGTAATGTCTTTACCTATTATTACCCGATTTTGAGGTCCAAAAATGATTATATTTGCCTGTTCCCATTTGCTTCTGCAGTTACTGATGGCAATTAAACTGCAATTTGAAGTTAGAAAATGTTATTCGATTTCAGAATTTGGCTTAGCATTCACTCCAAAACAGCCTTAGCTGGCAAAAGAGAATACGACAATGAATTCTTGTTCTGAAAATAGCACAACTATCTGGCATGGCTTTCTCCATCATCAGCCCAAAGCTGATAATAGAAAGGAGATAACTCTTCTGGTCCTCTAACAAAGCTCTGTGCTGGTGTCTTAACTGCGGGGCCACCATGCATGATGCTCTAACAGAGATTTGCCTCTGCCTTGCTCTATGTTGCATAACTGTTTTATCTGCTTGCTCCCAAGAACCGACGGCTTTTTATTTTCCCACAAATGCTCTGCAGACAGTGAAACAAGAATAATATGAGCCAAAAAAGAAAGGAAGGAAGGAAGGAAGAAAGAAAGAAAGAATATGATGGAAGGATGCACAGGAGAACTTTTAGTTTTTAAACAGATGGTATATATTTATTAATTTTCATAAGAATTCAGTATTACTTGTGTGAGGAACTAGCCTTTCTCTTTCATTTAGAGAAGTTAAGGATTTATTTTTTCATCAGTACCCCAGCCCACCTGTATTAAAGACTTAGCCCTTCCCTAAAAGAATTGCCACTTGCACTCCTGAGTGGGGATAAATTGCAAAGGGGACTCAACTGCGTGCCATTATTTGCCATTTTCCCCTCTCCCACGGCTGCTTACAGCAAAATCCAGGGCCAGAAGCAGGATCCTCGCTTCCCTCTGCCCCGTACCCTCAGCTCCCCCCTCCAAAGCCCTCCCCGAACTCCTGCCCCGCCACACTGCGGCCAAAAACAAGCAAAAAGCCGCATTTCTAGCAGCCGGGGCGCGGCCTGGCGGGGTAAAGGGGGCGGCACAGCGCTCTGCAGTGACACAGGGAGGGCTGCAGGCGGCGGCAGGGCCACGGGGAGCCCGCTTGGACCCGCCGCCGGGCGGCTGAGGGAGCCGAGGGGAGGCGGGGGGGCCGCCATCCCGGGCTCCCCTCAGCGGCGCCCAGCCGCGGGCGCCACCTTCCCGCCCGCCGCCCAGCGCATGCGCCGCAGCCGCCTCCTAGCAACAGGGGAACGGCGGCGCCATCGGGGAGCGGGGCCGGGGGGCTGAGGGGAGAGCCGGTGGCGGAGGAATAACGCCCGGTTGGTGCTTTGTTTCTTAAGGTTTCTTTCAGGCTTACTGCTTTGCCTACACCAGTGAGGAAAGTAGTGTAGTCTCAGGGTTATAATAAAGCTGTGAGGTTTACCTGCGGAGTTCGTGGGGGACAGCAACGTGAGAGGTGTCGCACCTAAAGCTGTGTGGATAATAGACGAGAGGGGGGAAATGAGAGAGACTAAACCTTAAAGACAGGTGTTTTACCCTAAATACCGCTAACAGGTGGGTGGGCTGTGGGGGAGCAAATCTCACCGAATTTTGGATGTTTCAGAGGTTGGGGGCATCTGCAGGCAGGCATCACAACACCAAGTAGGGGCTTGCTGGCAGAGGAGCATCGTCTGCAGAACAGAAACCTTCCTTTGTAATCTGTTACTAACCTGAATGTGTCATCTATATAACATACTCCAATACTATATTATCTTAACCATTTTTAGGCTTTTGATTATTGTTGCCGTTTTCTGATTATCTGAATTAAGTGATAGGTCTGCCCTTGTAACCATAAAAATCATGAATGTGACAGTGACCCGCTTGAGGTGTTTCCAATAGTATAAATATTTAGTGTAAGTAACATGTTTTGCTATGTGCTAGTAAAGGAAGGGAAGTAATTGACAAAAGCTCAAACACAATACGAATACAATAAACTGGCCATGAATAAATGGACACTGAAAACTAAAAAAGGTCTCTTCTGAGCAATCAGCTCAGCAACAGCTTTTCAGTGAGAGGAGTGGAAACAAAATACCTACTGTGTTTTTTTTTTAAGGTAGAGCGTTAGAGTTATCTGGTGGGATTAATGGGACGTGGTGCATGTGACAGGCAGGAATGAATCTGACCATTCAGAATGTCACGTTCAGCCCCATGTCCCTACAAAGCTGGCAGATGGAAGCATTTGTTTTAAGACACGTACATTGGCACAACTGCTTAAAAACTTCAGCGTGTCTTTAATTTTTACTTGTCTTTAAAATGTGCTTCTTCCAAAGGCAGACCAGCTTTGACTTCTATATGAGAAATGTCCTGCTATTATTCTTCAGGAAAAGGTTGCATAACTTCTCTCTCTCTCTCTGTTTTTTTTAGATTAAGCCAATTTTTCTTAGACTCTTTCTCATGGGATGTGGGATTTCACTGTGTCTCAGTGAGACATTTAAAATCACACTCATAATTTCTAAAATTCTCCTTCATTTGGGTTGTCACAGCCTGGATTCTCCAAGGATAGATCCTGGGTTTGATGTTATTTAATATATTCATTATAATTTGGAAATGAACAATAACATAGAGAAATCAGAATTTTCTACTGAGATGAAATAGTTTGTATTAATTAAGATTTAAGAAGGTTGTTAGATACATCTGAGAGCTATCCTGATTCTTGTATCATGGTGTAACTGGTAACACCATGGTAAATAAAATTAATTGGTGGTGAATGGAATATAGTTTATGCTCCCAGGAATATTTGGAACACTGTATTCTTCAGTAGTGAACCTGAGTTAACTGTAACCTACTGGGGAAATGACCTGTTTACCATATGTGGATGGCTTAGTGAAAATCTTCGCTGAAGAAATTGGCTAAAAATTAATCCTCAAAAAGATGTAATGTCACTATAATAAATCAGTGGTGCTCTAGAATTGATTATGGTATTCAGGGTTAGGTTATTCATATCTGAGAAAGATTTAACAGTCACAGAGGGGCTCTGAGACAAGAAACATATATGTCTGGAAAAGCTGTATGGAAAAAATAATTAAGACCGTTTAGAAAGGTGATAAATCAGAATGTACAGGAAATTATAAAAGAAAGTAGAAAGGATCAAGTCAGGGTATCCTTTAACTAAATTTGTAATACAAGAACAAAGGAATGTTGTGTTGAATTGAATAAACTGTTTACATATTTTTTAAATCTAAGGAGTAGTTGCTTGTAAAGTACACTTGACAATTGGACCTGTGCCATAGTGTGTCATAGAATGAAGAGTAAAGGGATTAAGCATTGATGTGGACAGTAAAAATAGCTACTATTGTGAGAAAGAACATAAAAACTTCAGGAGATCTAAACCTTTGTACTTCAGGGAAATAAAAAACCAGTAACAGATGGAGGAAAACTGACTTTTGGGATTGGTTTCATGAATTTATCAGAAGCATTTGGCTCTTATCACCAGAGGCAGGATACCAGTCTGCCATGGAAGACTGTTCTTACTCAGTGAAGGAGGGTTTTTTGAGCTGAGGCCTCTCAGTTGCTCTGTGATTTGTAAAGAATGCCGTCACGTTTGTTAATTCCTGTTACTTCATTTTATGAACTTTCATACACCGTCTTTCATACATTACTCCTTAAGCTAAGGAGTGAGATACTCCTTAGTTAGTGCACCTCTTGGTGTGCCAAGAAGTTCAGCTTCAGAAAACAGTGAAGTGTGGTCCTTGGGCAGCATGAAAAAAGGCACTGGTATCAGAAACTACTGTATCAAAATTTTATCACAAATTTTGCATATTTTTACAGCATTGTGTTAAGGAATCAAATAACTTGGGTAACTTCAAAATCTAAGCATCTGTACTTTGGAATTTTGAAAGTAACAGCTAAATGTTAACGTGATACTGAAATGCAAATAAGCAGTACCAGTACATCCTGAAAGTTCTGAGGTTTTAAATAAGTAATTGTATTATTCTTTAGCTAGCCTAAAATTCCCCTCCTTTCCCTCCTCCTCCCCCCTTTCTTTCTCTCAGCTATTTGGTCAACCCGATACCTAACTGGAAACTCATTTTGTGTTTAAAGGTATGGAGTACTCCACTCTGTATCTCTCAGTATTTTGTTAATTGTTTTGTGATTCCTTTGCTCTGTATAATTTCGTGTATTATTTAGAAACAAATAGATCATTAAAACTCTCAGAATGACCAGAGTGTATTTATTTATTTATTTATTTATTTATTTATTTTTCTGGAATGGGATTGACTTTGTTCAGCTGAATCAAAACGAAAGATACGATCTTGAATCTGTGAACAGATTCTAGTGAAGTTGGGCTAGTTAACATCTGTTGCACGGTAGCTAATTCTTCACTTAATCCTCGTCATTTCTTGCCTAATATACGTGTAAGCACAGATAAAACAGCTAGCGGATTTGAAGGTGTCTTAATTGGTCTCATATGTGATGTACTATTTTCATACAGCATGTATCTTCTGGAACCAAATACTAAATTAGGCCTGGTATCTCTCTTAACTCTTTCCTTCTCCAAAGCCAAGTTTCCCCAGGGTATCAATGTTTGTAGTCCTCATAGAAGTAGAAAACACAGGGTAGTTTGGTTAAGAAGAAAGGGGAATCTCTTGGTCTGCAATTAAGGAGTAGGACAGATGAAAACCAAAAGAAAGATTTGGGAGAAAGAAATATGCAAATTTCAAGATAATCACATAACAATGTGGAATAATGACAAAGTTGTCAGAGAATGATGAGAAAGATGAAGATGTTTAAGCTGCCATACAAAAGACGTTTGTATGTAGTTCATGGATTCAGGAAAGGAGTGAGATTGTCTGCTAATGCTGGGATTATAACTTTGTCGTCTTCCTTTTGATTGCACTGCAAGGCAGCAGATCTAGCATGTCCATACAGAAATCGATTGACGTAATCAGTGAGGTGGACCAGTTTATAGGCGGTTTCCACTGTTAGCAAAGAAAAAGCTTTGAGTGTCTGAGACAAGAAAAAACAGCAAGACTTCCCTTAAAATGGCTAGACAGATTGACATTGGTTAAATATCACTTGGTTGTTCTAAAGAATCTTGCGTGTTCATCATTTTTGGGGAGGAACTTGACAATCAGGTGCTAGCAATGTGTTGTTGCAGCAAAGAAGGCTAAATCTGTCCTGGGCTGCTTTATGCAAGGTATTGCCAGCAGGTGGAGGGAGGTGATCCTTCCCCTCGATTCAGCACTGATGAGACCACGCCTGGAGTAATGTGTCCAGTTCTGGCCTTGGCAGTACAAGAGAGACATGGACACACTGGAGAGAGTCCAGTGTGGTAGGACCATGAAGATGATGAAGGGACTGGAGCATGTCTACTATGAGAAAAGATGGAGAGAGCTGGGACTCTTCATCCTATAGAATAGCAGGCTCAGCAGGGATTTTATCAATAAAGATTCCCCATGTATAAATACTGAAGGGAAGGTGCAAATAAGACAGACCCAGGAACTTTTCAGTGCTGCCCGGTGACGGGACAAGGGGCGGTGGGCACAAACTGAAACACAGGTCCTGTCTGAAGGTCAGGAAGCACTTCTTTACTGTGTGAGTGACAAAGCACTGGCACAGGCTGCCCAGAGAGTTTGTGGAGATCTTCAAAAGCTGCCTAGACATGATCCTGGGCACCCAGATATAGGTGGCTCTGCTAGCAGGGGCTTGGACCAGATGGCCTCTCAGAGGTCCCTTCCAAGCTCAGCTGCGCTGTGATTCTGTGATCATGGTCAGGTTGTAATAACACAGCTTCAGACTTCCTGAAAGCATGGTACTGTCAGATCCCAAAGGGGATTTTGTAATAAGTAATGTATTAGAAGCCTTTCTTAAATCCTCCTTTGCCCTGCTTTTCCATAGGAATAATTGTTCTCTGGAGGGACTTTTGAGTCTGTGACAACGAGGTAAGTTTTGCAGTCATCTGTGTCTTTGACTTACTCTTGCACCTTACCTCATGTCTCACTAACATTCAGTATGTGCAGGGTCTTAGGTTACTGTGTCAGTTATTTAAGGGCTTAGAAAACAGAAGATGCAAATTGAACAGGTAGTTACTGTGTAAATGCGTTGTATAAATTAAAACCAAAATAGTATGGCCTCCAAGTGCATGCAACAGGACTCTGACAATGCCAACGTACACCCCATACTGTAAAGGAAGTACTTACAAAATTTCCTTATTTTGACTAGTACAGCCACTGTAAAACTTTCCTCATATTTCAAAGTCAGATTCATATTGAAAAATACTTTTGTTAATTATCTTTTTTAAATTAATGCTCATTATCTAACCATTATCTTGTATTTAAAAAATAATAATAATGAACTGTGCACACTCGCTAGTGAAAAAAAGTATTGACAAAAAAGGTGTTAAAATCTGATGATAGGTGTGTTGTTTTTTTTTAATTTAAAAAAGTCATCTGTCATAGAGCATAAAACTAATACTCTGCTAATCCAATAAAGCATTTAGTCATCTATAGTTAAAAGCAGCAATGTTTAATGTCTCCCAGCTTCTAACCAGTGAGATCGAAAGCCAGATTTATTTATTTATTTTGGTATAGTGAGTAGAAATAGGTGGCTATCTCAGATTTGCAGTGTAGGAAATGATTCACACTGTGCAAAGAAGTTTATAGAGCAAGTCAGTAAAATAAGTACAGGAATCATGGCCATCATTATCTGCAGATCTGGTGCTTAGGATCTGTTCCACTGGGCAGGCATCTACAAGAAATCTCTCAAAAACTAAATACATTTTCCTTGTTTTATTTGGAGATGCATAGATGCCAGGTCATGATACAACAGCCAATAGGTTAGAGGGTTCTGCTTTTGAACTAAAAAGTACACATTCGTGACCTTCTTTAAAGTCATTTTCCATTTACAGGCAAAATGTCCTAGTCATGGAGATGTTACTGGAGATGGGCCTGTTCCTTCAGCCCCTTTAAAAAAGACAAGGCTGTGTTATGTCGTGTGCCTAGTTCTGCTAAAGCTCAGTCTGCTGTGATAGCATCAGCCAGGCATAGCCTGGCATGTGGATTGTTGTGGAGAAACAGGGTAATATGTCTATCTCACTGATTTTTGTCAATGTATGAGCTAGCAGCTCTAGGCTCTGGCTTTGGTCAGAAGAAAAAATGGTCCTTTTTCGAGGTGCAATTTACCTGATGAATTTTAGATACATACTTTAGGTTGAGCTGCCTTAACAGCTATTGGATGTACTGAATAGACCTCCACTGACTGTAAAGGAGAGTGACTAATTTAAGTACCAATGCTTGATTGAGTTTACTGGACCTCCACACAGAGTTTCTGGATTCTGAATGAACTGAAGTGAACGGGTTGCTCAGGCTGGGGTAGTTCTGGTCCCGTAGAAAACCAGGAGGCCCTTGTGGAGTTCAGAGTGAAAGATGGAAATGCCACAGCTGAGGGAAAGCTTTGGGGGCTGCAGTTTGTGTAGGAATGAGATGTAGTTAGACCTAACGACTGCCCTGCTGGTTGGGGGACAACATCTGATCATATCACCCCACTGGAACTGGGTGGGAGCAGATTAGAACAGGCTAATTTATCTACTAAGGAAATCAGTGAATTCCAGGTGGAGGACAGGAAGTAGCACAGAATGATAACTTCATAGACTGCTTGACCATGCGTTGGCTACATCTGTTTTGTTAAAGTCCTTTATTACCTCTAGCGCTACATGATTTAAGCAATCAGCCCTTTAATCTCAAGACATATGTGAAGAATTACACTCCTTCTAGAAAATTAAAAAACATGAAGTAGAGAATATTACTTAGAGAAGAATATTCTTTATTTTGTTATAAAGATTTAATTACATTTAGTCACTAGTGAATAGAGTTTTAGCTTTTAAAGTAAGACTTTCAGATAGCATAGACCCAGCATTTAATTACACTGAAAAATATAAATCCCATTAAAAAATTGTCTGAATTCAAAATATTTAGAATACCAAGCTGAGAATCAGATACACATTCTGTAGGTCTACTTAGAAGAAGACTGTACACAGTTATGGAGAGAGAGGGGTTTTGAATAAGAAGTGGACTTATGGGCCAGTAGCTTTTCAGCACATGAACTCAATGATTGTCTGAGATAATGAAAATTGAATACGGAAGGCAGATTTTTAATTTTCAGTAAGTCAAAGAGTTCCACATGCGTCATAGCAGTTATTCTCTGACTTGAGGCAGAATACAGAGAGCTTTATAGGGACCAAGCTAACACCAACATCTGATGGCAGAAGGCATTGAAATCCAGAATAAAAACTGCAGTAAGAAACAGCCTGAAGGGCATAATCCACAGTAATTATCCAATTATCTGTGATTTTTGCTGCAGATGATACCACTTTTTTAATATTACCAAGGAACCAAATGTTTCTGAACATGGAGAAAAACTTTCAAGTTCCTGGACAATGTTCTTGGACATTAGATACATTTATATAAGCGTGAAGAAATATTTACAACTAAAAGCTGTAGTGATTCACAGTGTTGGACTATGCATAATTATTTGAATCTGTGAGCATTAAAAGAAAGTGGTGCACAGTTATATGTTGATTGGTCCCTAACCAAAACTGTGCTCTTTGAAACACTGAATTGTAGTGTGTTGTGTATTCATACGTGTGCCTGTATATGTGTGCAAGGGTAAAGCAGATAGGAGCCGAAGAATCTTTGGTTATATGGATCTTCCTCTCAAAGCCATAGTTTGTGACCAGCCTATGAAGTTCTAAATTTCAGATTTCAAAATTCAGTTCTAAATTTCAGAATTTTCAGACGTGCTTACCAGCTGGTATCGCTACTGCTGTGTTGTAGTTTCTTTGGGAGGCTAGTAAAGGAACAATACCTGAAAAAGGTCAGAGGATTCAAGGAAAGCTCCAAGTTTTTAATGAACACAATAAATTATAGCACTGTGTTTTGTAATCAGCCAGGCAACAGCTCGTATTGCAGAAGATAATAATCTCATATACCACAGGAAAGCTGTCAGGGTAGTCTTGGCTGAGGGTGAAGGTGTGGTTTCCCCTTGAGAACTAACCAGGGAGTTACTCAGGGGTACTGAGTGCACATTTTGCTTTTACAGAGTGTTAAAATGAATCTAAATTTGGCATAACTTGGTCTATGTTGTGTGCATAGCTAGTGCTAGTGGGTCGTGTTATTCTTTACTTTTTTGCCCATAGCTTAACTGGAAGGCTCTCGGCTGAAGTTTTGCAAGCCATATGAAATTAGGTCCACATGGGGTTATTACATCCATATGCTTCAGAAGCTGCTATTAGATGCAGCTGAGAAGGTCTTCCAGGTTCACTTGCACATGTGCTAATACAAAAAAAAAGCAGAAGCCAGAAGTTGGACTTGGTGTAAATAATATAACTTTTAAAAAATCAGTGAAAATTGTGCTGTGCAAAACTGTTTCTTAATAACTGCAGACCTGATTTTTGTCTTCCGTAAAATATGGGTGGAGAATTTGAATTGAATTTGAACCCCATTTTTAAGGTAGAACTTATTTGTACGTTCTGCAGCTGTGTAGAATGTTTGCCACCACATATAGATGAACATGGAGAAACAGGTCCCCTAGCAGGACCTTCATGTTCACGTACAATTTGTAGATGTACACAAAACTAACATATGACAGTGCATGCCATATGTTTGTGCCACATTACAGCTTGAGCCCGTGATGTCTTGCATCTCTCTTTTTAGTTTAGTTGATAGACATATTTTACAAAATGCATTCAAGTGTTAGAAAGTTTGTTGTTTTGGACAAAAGAAACCTTACTGTTTAAAACGGATATCTTCGTGCATAGAAATTATGATGTCAAAGAATTCCTCAAATTGATTAGATGCATTAAATGAATGCGAACATCTGTCCTAAAAGCTTTCCTAAATCACTGGTAAGCTGATTCTTAAGACATAGAAGGAAGTTTGTTTTTCTGCTTTTATTTTTTGTTTTTATTTTCAGAATGGGTAAAAAAGTGAAGAAGGAAGTAGAGCCTCCACCCAAGGATGTGGTAAGTTTATAAACTGCTACGTGCTATAAAATAAACATTACACAATTATAGACCCAGCTCTACCATCCTTACATAGTTCCTTACTATGGAACTTACACGCATTATTCTAAAAATGTCTTTTAAAGATGATTCTGTTTCTGCTTTTTTTGGACAGCATACAAACCAGAGTGACTGGGCATGTGTAGTTCTTTGTGAAGATTGTTGTCTTTGGCAGGCTTTGCAAGTAGTAATGTATGAAACAATCCAGGCTTCTTTTTATTTGAAGAGCTGTATTAGCTTTCCATTTGTAAAAATCAAAGGACAAAACAGCAGAGACCTGAAATCTGCCCCTCTTTTGAACTGTGGAGACATTGCCTAGGATGAAAGAGTTAAAAGCCTAGATGAATCTGTGGAGTTTTTTACTGAATACAAAAGTTTTACAGATATTTTGAATGACAGTACTATGTGTTCTAGATCTTTTGCAAAGATACACAGTCTCTAGCAGCAGTTTTTCTGGTATCATTGGAAGTGCAACAGTGAGAAGTACTAGAGCTGACGCCAAGTATGGAATAATTAGTTCTTTTGAGCCAAGAGTATTCAACTCATAAACTACACTTATTTATTTATTTAAAAGTCTGACACTAGTTTATGCACACTTTTTGTGATTTTATGTTAAAAAAAAAAAGGTTCAAAATACAGGTTTAAAGTCTTATTGGTTTATTCAGAAAGAAGTAGAAGAAATGAGACTGAAACGCTAAACAAAATATAACACAAATTCTGCAACAGATATTGAGTAAGTTAATGAAGAATTGGGACCTCATCTAGTCCCTGAAAGAGCATAAAATTAAATGCAAAATTTACTATGTTTTTTTTTTTTTTAAAGGTTTTTTGTCCATTACGAGCAACACTACTGCAAGATCTTTTTCAAAGGTCATAGAAAAATTGATCAGCAAAATTTACATCATGATTTCAGTGTTAGATAAACATAAATAATTTTAAGGAAGACAATGACAGAAGTCATTATGGTTGAACTCAAATACCCAACGCCATGATGTCACTGAGGGTGAGCAGTTGTCAGTTCTTGCACAACTGTTCTGTGGAAAGGTGAATATTACAAATATAATTGAAAAGCTACAGTCAATAATAAAGCCTTATAAAGGAAGACTTGAGATAAACCTTTAACATGAGAGAGTTAACTGATATAAAGACATTTCTGTATGGAATAACCCAAAAACCAAGGAGGAGACACTAAGAAGATACATGTGAATCCAACTAAAACAGTCCTGAAGAATTAAAATTTTATAATCTAAGAAAAAAAATGGAAAGGCATAATAATAGATTATGGCATACAGATAAGCTAACCCCCTCCAAAGTAATGAGACTATTTTAGTAAATGTCTAGAAAATCAATATAAACAGCATCACAGTTTCTGGATTCAGAAGCCACCATTTGTTTCTGGAGAAAAGTACAGTATAGCCTTCTACCTACTACAATAAACTGTGAATAATGTTAGACAAGATAATCAACATTTGAAAAAAAATAAACTGATGAAAGAGGTTAATAAAATAATTAAAACGGAAAACATTGGAAAGAGTGAACTCCAGATGGCATCTGTGGGTTTTGGCTTAGACACTTACCCTTATTGTACTTCAGGCTAGCATATCTCTTCTAGCAGCCCTATCAGGAGAAAATAACGGAATGTTGCATAGCAAAACAGTATTAAATATGAAAATAGATCCTTGATTAGTACTTACTATCAACCAAGAAAATCTTCTAGCTGTGAGAATATTGTTAACACTGATCATGTAAAATCAATTTTCAAACCTTTACATTTCACCTGGATATTTCAGATGGCAGGAAATGAGATGCAGACAAAATACCTGATATATTAGCTTTTATCTTCTGATTGATAAGCTGCTTATGAAAATGTCAAGTCCAAGAAAAGAAGCCTTGAGATAATGTGGACAGATTCATATAAGAGGGCTTTTGTGCATGTGGGATTCTCTGAGAATATATGATAGTGCAGATGACCGCTGTTTTTTTATAGTTTTCTAGGAACAGGTGGAAAACACATATCCTAGACCAACCACTGCTTATATTCTTCAGAGAGTATTCATGAGGACCCTCTTTTCACAAATTTCCATTATTTATTTATTTTTTAACTATTATATGTTCTGAGGGCTGGTCTTCTCCAGAAAAAAAAAAAAAAAATATATATATATATATATTCATTTGAGTCTCTTTCTCTATATGGATCACCTTAAGACTATATGTCAGGCAGAGAAAATATGCTAGCTTTGACATAGGTCAATAGGAACTTTTCATATGACACCTTCCGTAAGTTTGGTCTGGACAGTATTACTATTTGATTCTCAGTTAGGGCACAGGCATTAGAAGCTTAAGGTTACCACTGGAGAAAGTACTGAGTCATTTTCCATGAAAGAAAGCAGTAAGTCCCTGCGTATTTTTGAAGATGGCTTCACTCACAACAGTCATGTTACAAGTCAAAAGTTTGGAGGAACAGAAGTGGCACTGTCAACTCCTGAAATTCAGACTCCACAGAAACACCTTCTTTTGAGCAATCAATAAGAAACCTAAATATTAATTTGACTTTAGTAAGGCTTTCAACACTGTCTTTCATGATGTCCTGATAGACAAACTGATAAAGTATGGATAAGATAAATAGCGAGGTGAATTGAAAACAAGCCGAGCTGCTGAACTCAAAGGGTTGTGATCAGCAGCATGAAGCCCAGCTGGAGGCCAGTGACTACTATTGTGCCCAGGGGTTAACCTCTTCATTAGTGACCTGACTGATGAGACAGAGTGCATCCTCAGCAAGTTCACAGACGATACGAAATTGCAAGGAGTGGCTGAGACACCAAATGGTTGTGCTGCCATTCAGAGGGCTTTTGACAGACTAGGGAAATGGAGAGAATATGAATTTCAGTAAGTTCATTAAAAAAAGTGCAAAGTCGTGCACCTGGGTGAGTAATAGCCAATACAGACTGGGTGATGACCAGCCAGAAAGCAGCTTTGCAAGAAATGACCTGGTGGTCTGAGTGTACAGTAAGTTCAATATTCACTAGCAATGTCCACTTGTGGCAAAGGCTAACAACATCCTGGGGCACGTTAAACAGTGTTGCCACAGCAGTTTGAGGGAGATGACTAAAGTCTTTCACTCAGCTTTGGTGAGACCAAATCTGGAGTGTCAAGTCCAATTCTAGATTCTCCGGAAGAATAGAGACATGGGCTTAGTGGAATGAGCCTGGCAAAGGGCCATAAAGATGCCCAAAGGCTTGGAACATTTGTCATGTGAGGAGAGGCTGAGAGCTGAAGAGTCCGTTCACTCTTGAGAGAAAGCTTGGAGGGGATCTTGTCAATGTGTACAAATACCTGGTGGGAGAGAGTAAAGAAGTCAGAGCCAGACTTCTCACTGGTGCCCAGTGAACATATGAGAGGCAAGAGGTACAAATGGAAAATCTGCTACTGACAAATGATGGAACACAGGTTGCCCAGCGAAGTTGTGAATGGAGTCTTCATCCTCGGAGATATTCAGAATCAGACTGTGCCTAGTCTGGAGCTCTAGGTGACCCTGCTTTGAGCTAGATGATCTCCAGAGGTGATCATTGTCAACTATTCAATGATTCAATGGAGTATGTCGGTTTTGTATTGTTAGTATTGGAGATTATACTTGGACAGAAGTGAAATAGATAGCAGTATATGTTAACTCAGTTTTTTTCTAGGCAAAAGATAAGGGATTGAGGATTATGAAAGATATTGGTAATTCTTCTAAAGAGTCTGTGAAAGCTGTAAGGATAAAGAAGACCTTTAGTCATTTTGTTCAAAAAGGGCTTTTAAAGGATCTTTAAAAAAAAATAAAAATAGAATGATTAAACAATAGAATAATAGGAGATAGATACATTCTTCAAAAGGTGGGATTTGCATCTAAATGGGAAAGCAAAACAGAAAAAACTTACACTCACAAATGAAAAGCAAAAGCACAATGACACGATGCACCAAAATATTTTGGGAGAGATCCAGCAAGGATACAAAAACTAGCAGTAAAGCTGTTCCAAAATCACTAGAAGCAAGAAACTTCTTAGAGGGGGACTACTGGGTGATTAAAGCCATAAAGAAAAAGTAATTATTTGTCCAAAAAAAAAACACCTATGCAGCAAATCACCTGAAATTAATGTGAATGAATTATTTTAACTGTAAAATGACTAGAATATGAAATAGAGGTACTCTTTCTTATGGTATTTAATGTGTACCCTTTGTACTAGAGGAATGGAGAACAGAAAAAAACATTTTCAAAAAGAAATACATTAGTAATTACAGAGCAGAAAGTTTGTCTACTACACGGGGTTAGTTAGTAGGAAAGATTGCCTCCCCTTCTCCCCCCCAAAAAAAAAAGTTGCATGGATAAATATGATAGTAATGGGAACCCATATTGCTTTTGTAAAGGAAAGCTTTGTCTCAGAAATCCATTTGAGTTCTGTAGAGGGAGAAGTCAGTGAGCAAGGGAATCGTGGTGGTCTGGTTGATACAGTTATTTAGATTTTTTATTCACATAAACACTGACAGATAAAAAGAAAATCCTTCCCTGGCTACAACATCTGGTTAACAAAATAGAAAGCAAAGGTTAGAAAACAAATCACCATTCTGGTTTCTTAATGAAAGAAGTTGCCAGTGGACTGTCATCGCGTTTTGTTCTGCAGTCTGTGCCATCCAGCCTCTCAGAATGCACATGGATTCTTTCATGAAAACGGCAGCCAGTACTAAGTAGGTAAAAAAATGAATAAATACAATATTTCAAATTACAAAAAAATAAAAGGCAAAACACTATATGACTAACAAATGTGTGATACCTGTGTATGTTGAATGCCATTAACAGTTCTGATTTTTCCATATCAAGAAGGGTACAGATGAACTCGAAAAATACTAAAAAAGACAACAAGAATAATCAGAGTGACTTCTATATCAGGAAAGATCAAAGAGAGAGTAGGTTTCTTCATTCCCAAAAGGAAATGACTCTAAAGATGAATATCATAGATGCTTACAAAAATGTGAACATACAGAGAGGGATGTTATTTATTTCATTGTTCCTCCACAGTGAATGAATTGTGGAGGACAAATAAAATTGTCAGGTGATATTTTTAAAACAAAGAAAAGGCACGACTATTTGTCTAAGACTTAAACTCTGATACTTGTGTCTCAGAGTATTAAGGGTGGCCTGAATATAAATGGCTTCAAAACTATTTGCCAGATAAACTGGTGGAAAATTTTTCTTTGACTTTTTGGACACAGATAGATAAAACCACTAGCTCTCTACATTGCTGAGTGCTGGAATCTGAGGGAGAATGCAAGTAAAGTTTAATAGTCTGGTTGCCCATGTGTTATAAGCCTGTCTCAGAGACAGGATGCTGGGCTAGATGGACCTTTGGTCTGACTGTAAATGTATATATTGCCTTCAATTTAGCATTTTAACTGAGTGAAGTTGATGGAAGGCAAAAAAAATACTCTGCAGTTTCTAATGGCTTCAAAGTGGAATGCACACAAATACTATGATCAGAGCTACAGTTTTTGAATTACAGCATTTTTGTTCTCCCTTTTCATTTGCTTTTTTCTCAGCACAAATCAAGTGCTGGGAATGTTGTTGCTTATAATCCAGATGCCCATGTTTATTTAATTCAATGCCATTTGTCAGTTCAGGCATATTGTTCTAGCATTTAGGCTGTCCTGTATGTGCCATTCAAGGAAGAGTCTGCAATGATGTATGAAGATTTAGGAGCAAGTTGTGATAGCAAAAAAGGGAACTCTAGCTATGCTGCCATTATGATAAGGAAAGGTCACATCTATTTCTATGGTGTTTTTGACTGCGAATGTTACTTCCAGCAAATCACTGGCCCACTCAGACTGCTGACTTCTTAAATGCATGTAAATATTGGTGATTGTTCTTATTGTGTTTTCAGCCAAAAGTGATTCTGAGTCTCTGTTGCATATTTCACAGAGTAGTAGCAAATCAAGTATGTATACAAATGGGTAGAGATTAGACCAATTTCACTCAGCTCATAAGTTAACTTGTGATTTAAGTCTAGGAATTATCAGTGAATTGTAGTTTATACAATTACCTGTGAACATGAGAGGCAAAGAAAATGGAGCAACATAACAGCAATTTTGTTATTAGATCAATGTAAATAAATAACAGAGATTTAAAACTCTTATTTCATATTTCATTTCTTATTAACCTTTATGTGAGATCAATCTTTGTGTTTGATTTATGTTTCTCTGAAGCACTAACGTCCTTTACTAAAAATTACTGTTTCATCCCATTGCCACGTATTTGGCCAGATTCGGCCCTACAGATGCCAATGAAGTTTCTAGAGGGTTGGGCTTGATTCTGCCTCTCTATATATCACCTTTCATTCAAAGCCTAATGTAATTAAAATGTCTGTAGTTGCTTGGGACAGCTATCAGGAGTCCATTTTGAATTGCTGTGGAGAAAATGTAGATTGTGATTTATTCTTTTATTATTTATATTTTTACTTCATAGCGGAATGTTTTATTGATGGAGCCCTACAGCCAGTAGGGATGAAGAACACCTTCAGGGATGTGTGGAAGGAGGGCATACAAGGTGTGGAAAGGGTTCTGATCTACTGCAAGGTCTTTTGTGGATGTCCAGGTCATTGCTTCAACCCATGAGGTGCTATACCAGAGGTGTACCCCTGAGGAGCAGCTGCAGGGAAATGGAAAATTGTAGTTGTGAAAAACCTTTCAGTAGAATAAAAAAGTGCCCTAACAAGCTTATATTCCACACCTACATAAGGATTATTGACAATATATCTTTGTTGGTCATAGAGGAGTAATCAGCCAAGCTGAACAAATACAACTTCAGCATCAAAAGGTTATCATCTGTTAGGTCTCTTTTTGTATCAGAAGGAAGTTCTGTTCCACAGATTTAACTATATCCATGTCAGCTGCAATTTACAGGTGGAGTGTACCCATACTGCTAAAGCAGTAAGAATTTAGACATCGTCCTAATGCTCTCTAGTAATGAAAAATCAAAATGCAAAATTTAATCTAGATGTGTGTATGCAATTTTCCCCCCTTTGTATGGGAGAGCTACCTGCTCACAAAGGGAGATGCATGCTGGCTGTAGCCCATAAGGAACAGTCATAAATGGCTTCCTTTTCTCCCTGCCAAAGTCTTTTTTTTTTCTCTTTTCTCCGTCTTGCTGTGTGCTGTATACTAAAAGTCCTCAATTTGCAAAAGATTTGGAAGGTAGCGTGTGTACATCTGGGTTTGGTTAATGACTCTGCCACATCTGTTTAGTATTTATGTAATACTAATGGTAATCATTTAAATTTACAGTATGTAAGAATCTGAACTTCTTACCTGAAGCATCATGACCTTTTTACAAGCTGAAGTATAAATATATGTTTCAAATAACATCTCTTCTATCTGTCATTGTTTCAAAGGAGTGGGTTCAATAATAGGCTAGAATGGACTCAAACACCTTTTTTCCCAGAAAAAGTGTTTTGTCTCTGCTAACGTCCTAGTGCTTGCTTGAAGTATTGTGTTCTGTTCTCTCTCTGCAAGGAACACATATGTGCAGAAGTAGAGATGTGTGAGGGTGGATAAAGGGAGTTCCACGCGTCTCTTGGTTCTCCTGTATGTCTCTCATATGGCTAGAGTGAATCAATAAAGAGAGCTGTTGGAATAAGCTGAACTTTTTGCCTCCTTACAATGTAAAAAGAAGATTCCCAAAATGAATTCCTTTGTTTTAGGCCCATCATTAAGATGTAACTTGGACCATTGTGCCTCTGTTTGGTTTAAACCTTGTTGCCAAGTCATTACTGAGTACAATGATTTCTGGTGCAATAAGCTGATTATAAAAAAGGAGCTTTGTTCCACAGCTTGTCCCTTGCCTCCAACTTGTCTCAACAAGCATGAAGTTGGACAGGTCTTCAGGTTTTCGGACCTACTTGAAGGTCGGGAGAGCAGTTAAACACATTAGCCAGGCAACCTCTGAACTGTTAGGGAAACCTGGATCTTGATCTTGCAGACTTAATTTGTGTGATGTGCCTTGTAGAAGAGGATGAAATTACTTAGATTTAAGAACCTACCAAAAATAAGGATTTAGAAGTCCATATCATATTTTGCCTAATTTTGGAACACGTCTGGGTGAGCTGAAAAAAAACACTTCATTTTTCATTTTCCTTCTAGCACACTCATAACTTTGTTGAATATTTGCTCCAAAAAATTTCCTTGATTGACAAGTGACATATATATGTATACATGCCCTTGATATTCAGCAACGTGTGCCTCTGATGTAGCTATTAAAGTGTTTTAAAATGAAGTAAAACAAATTATAGACATTTTAAGATATACACAACATAAATATACATTGTAATAGTATATTGCTATCCTAAATGATTGATGTGCTGTATTTTAAAGATAGGTACATTGATATTGAGAGATTCTGCATGACTCCAGTATCTAGTAGCTTCTGTATGCAAAACAGATATTCTATATGTCAAAAGCATTGGGACAGATGAGAGTTTATGCATATATAAGTCCGTATTTTAAATCCAAATTAACTTAAAACTTTTTAATGGGTATTTTTCTTGGAAATTCTTGAGTTGTGCTAAAGAACGAAAAGCTTTTTCAGAAGAGTTCATTTTCTCAAGAGATGTTATTTCCAAAGTCTATCAAGAGGGTGAAAGCAGACAGATTTGTTGGAAATTTTCTTTCTGTATGAGGTCAGAAATGGAAGTGAATGCTGCATCGTTTCTAGCTGACTGAGCATGGATTATCATAGAAATACTTCAGCTAGTATACAGGATCATGGTAAACTAGTGTTTGAGAAGTGAACTGAGTTGCTGAAAGCAAAGGAAGGGTCATCTATGGTAGTGCCACGGAATGACCAAATCCTATTCCTTATACAACATACAACTTCATAGTTTCTGTGCACAGCAACTCATAAAATATCCCATCCCATGGTTGATTCCGAAGCTATAGGATGCTCTTTTGTTAAATAGTCTATTGCCTTCAAAAGTTCCTGGATGTATAGTGAATGGTCAAGTTTTTTCCAAAATCGTCATAGTAGACGGAATCATCATTGTATGAAGGCAATTATTCTTTCCTATTTTTCAACATCTCAAATTGTTATTAAAAATTGAATTTCTTCAAGTAAATAACAACTTGTTAATATTTCTAATTCAGTGTAAATCTCAAATTTATGTTTGTTTGTTTGGTTTGTTTGGTTTGTATTTTAAATGAAGTATGGAGTCTACTGCAGCACACAGTAAGGCTCAATATAAACAAGCTATTCTTCCTTTTTTTTTTCCCTAGTTTGATCCTCTATTGATTGAAAGCAAAACCGCAGCAACAGTCGTGCTAATGCTTAGTTCTCCTGAAGAAGAAGTTTTGGCCAAAGCATGTGATGCTATATATAAATTTGCGTCAAAAGGTTAGTCCTTTTGCAATAAGCTTTCCTTTGCCTTGTTTGTGTTTTGATAGTAGTTCAGAATTTTTTATTTTCCTAGCAATAAAGTCTTCATTTCATTTCAAAGATCTCTGTCAAAATTTTGTGTTGTGTGTTTTTTTTTTTTCCTGAAATATCTGTCACTCCTGTATTTGAAGTTATAAAAAAGTTCTTTGATTTACATGTAGATTTTTAGCATTTTATTGTAGAAAATTATATTATCTTTTCAATAGAGTTTGGTTTAGATATAACCTGTACCTGTTTTGTTAGGAGCAACAGACCTGTTTCTGGGAAAATGATTCTCCTTCTTATGTTACAGTTTGAAACTTCTGTACTAAATTAAACAACTAAATATTTGAAAATGGAGAAATAGTTATTTCAAGTCTGTATATCTCAGTGAGCTGTGTACTGTGAATGAAAATTACTTTTTAGCCTACTTCTGTTACTTTTGCATATATCCACATGACAGTACTGGGACAGATAATTTACTGAAGATCTCTCAGCCTCCTTTATCAAGCTTATTACTGTATGTATTGGGAATCTAACAAGCCTCCAAGATTCCACATGTTCCAAAGGTCCTTGCATTATACATAACTAAGCATCATGTTCCGGGTGCCCTGTAGACAGCTTTGAAGAAAGGCTCAAAGGGATGTAGCACATAGTTTGCTGAGTTTCCTACTCGTTTATCATTTCCAAAGTTGCCTTCTCATACCTTGCCAGCCACTCAAATTGGTATACATTGATAGAATTCTTGGTATAGTTAATCTTCTTTATATATTAATTTCCATTTAATCTGTGTTCTTAAAAAATATGTTTTTATATGCTGATTATTGTGCTGATGGCAATTGTCAACACAGCTGAAGTTACGAGAGAAAATCTGAAGGCTCTGATGGTTAGGAATCCCTAGATTTTGGAAGATGTCTACGTTCAGCTTACAGTGGCAAACTTGGCTGAGGACATGCAAGCAAATTTTTAGTATGTAAAGAGAGAATTTGAAATGTTGCGAAGCAGCTATGAACTGCATACCATAAACTCTTGCTGCCTTCTTCCCTGCTGTCCACAGTAACATATGGTATGCTGCAAGAGGATGGAAATTTAATTTTTCTGTGTCTTCTAAATGAACAGTCATTTCAATTGTTCATGTAGAAATTATTGTACTCTTTGTAGACTCTCTAGGCCATAATTTTGCACTGTGGCAAAAGAGAAGGGTTGTTTTCACATTGAAATTAATTTATTTCTTAAATGATGTTAGTAATTTAAGTTCCATCCCTCAATAAAAGTTAGTTCTTGTGTTTTAATTGTGTTTTGGCTTGAGAATGAGCACAGTTCTCCAGTTTCTTCTCACACTGCTGTCTTGTAGCCAGGAAGGATCGGCAGCTTCTCCCACAGTTCATTGTAAAATTAATTATAAAAATGATGTGGGAACCGAAAATAGGAGTAGGGTTTGTTGTTGTTTGTTTTGAGCAGGGAACAGAAGGCTGTAATCATACAAAACACGTCTGTTGGTAAAAATCTCAGGTTAGATTTAATGATCCAAATCCTGGTAGTTGCTTTAGGAAAGTAAATTTAGGATGCAAGAAAACAGGAAAATAAAATGAGGTTCATAGCAATATCAGTCACCTACACTTAACTAAGTAGGAAGCTATCCTTTGTACTACTGTGGTAATCTCTAATAAATGAGTTGGCTGTCCAACAGACAGAGGCATCCTTTGCTTTAAAAATATAAATTAATCATAGAGAATTGATATACAGATCCTAAGGAAGCGTTAGTGTGTAATGATGTTGTTAAAGACTAGCCACTGTGCTCATTGAGAAGGTATAATTTAATTTGAATAGTCAACTTTAGCACTGGAACTTCTGGCTTCTGAATACTTTTTCTTTTTTTAATGTTTCTTGAAGTAATTATTTTTATCATATATTACTTAATATATTACTTACAATGAAATTACAATTACATTGTAATTATATATATATTACTTTACATATACACTTTATATTACTTTCATAAAAATATCCAGGTTGAGATGAACCCTATTGTAACCAGTAGCTTTATCCAAAAACATTTTAAGGACATATTCAAAGACATATCCAAGACATATCCAAAAACAGGTTAAAGGAATTAATGACCCTTGATGATGATGACAAACCGGCCTCTATCCTTCCCCACCACTTGGCACAGGACTGACAGGTTCTTCCTTACTTCTCTGCAGAGCCATATGGGACCATCCTTTCCTGCGGTGATCTGTTGTGTAGTAATACTTTATCCATCCAGTTACCATGCCAGTGAAATGCCTCACTTTCAGGGCAATTGTTCTGGATTATCTGTAAGCTCAGTTAACAGTGGGTGTCCCCACAACTCTTACAGCTAGACCGTGTTCCCAGGTAGCAGCAGGGACTGGCTGCTCCACAAGGGATGGGAACAAGCAGTCAGGGTGACAGCAGAGCAGGTGAGGGACCAGGACCTCAGGGGCAAGAGCACAGCCCCACGCTGCCTGAGTAAGGAGAGCAGAACGTGTCCCATGATGGTGAGAACAAGGTTTTTTCCTGCTCTATCTTGAATAGGAGTGCCCATGGTCCTGTCCAATCTTTTTTTTTTTCCTATGTTTCTGTGGTCCAGTGAAAGATGGTAGCTATTTTACTCTGTTGTATTAGAACTGTGAGCTTGTTACATTTCTTACTTTTAACCTAATTACTCTTTAGGTGATGAAAACAAAGTGACACTTCTTGGTCTTGGAGCAGTGGAACGTCTGTATAAACTCATCTCACATGAAGATCCAATTGTACGCAGAAATGCCATGATGGTATTTGGTATCATGGCTTCTAATCGTAAGAGTCTCAATTTTTTGACATTTTTCAGTGTGTATGGTTGTGGTCATCAAAGCAATAGGTGGCTCATGTGATTTTTTTTCTAATATTAGCAACTCAAAACAAAGGATCTAGTTTTGCTAGAGAGAACTCCACTGATTTTGGAAAAAAAAAATACAAGAGAAGTGAATTTCCCACCAGTCATTAGTTTTGTTTTGACAGGAATAAATTGAAAGAGTTTTGTACTGGAATTCTCTATCAGAGAAACCCAGACTATGTAAGATGCCCAACCAGTGTTGAAATAACACACTCTCCTCTTTTACAAAAATTGGAAGAGAAGGATAAAGTAGTATATATCATGTACATAAAAAAAATGGCATGGTTAAATATCAGTTGTGACTAGAGGCACTGGTATAACTGTAGTGATAATGGAGAAAAAGTGTTAAATTTATAGCAGCTAACTCAAGTGTCAATGGCAAAAAAAAAAAGCCCTGAACTCTGAAGCATTGACATGCACATTTACACAGCTTCTTTGGCAGGTCAGTGCTGCTGTGTAGGTATTTGTTACTTGTATCTGAGCTAGTGATATTCAACCTATCTCTCAGAGACATTTCAGTCATGGCAAGCCAGTGTATCTTGTGTAGCCGTTACCATTGTTAGATGAGTTAACCACAGTATATGCAGATTTTCTTGTACCTCTTTCTAAGGTATGTATTACATTCATGCTGGGTGGCTGAGTGCCAGTTGATCAAGCCTCAGTAAGCAGAGTGTAAGCATACCTAAGGAAGATGAAAACATAAGTGACATAAGGTTGAGTTTCAGTGGCAGTTATTTTAGCATCGCTTTGTAAACCTATACCCAATCAATATAATGAATCAGGTCTTATTTTGGAAGATGATTTGCCCAGTTGTCTTTCATGATGATATCCTAACCGCTATTTATATCTTTTCACCAACTGCTACCTGCTTTTCATGTTGCATTAGATCTTATGCTCTTTACCTGACTTTCAACTCCATGCTAGCATGCAGTTATTCCCTTCAGACCGTGGCTTCCTACACAAACATGGATTTGCATGGCTGAAGATCTTCCACTTATATGCACACACACACATATATATATTTCCTTATAAGTACATTCATCGTGTACCATTTCTCTTGCATTTCAGCACTGCAATGTGTTGATAGTAACAACACAGCTCTGTAAGATCACATGAAGTCTGTCCCAAATGTTTCTTGTTTGTTCTGCTTAGTGGTTGTAGTTTTGCTAGTTTGCCATTAACAAGAAAAATGCTTCTGGGAGTCTTTGCTGTGATTTCAATAAGACCTGTGTAATTAATGTTTTCAATTTGCAAAGTGGGCTCTGTTATCAGAAAATTAGAAAGTGAAGGCTTGAAAATTAAATAAAGGAAGGATTGTTTTTAGTTTGTTTATTTTAAGTACAAATAGTTTTAACTGTTGGAGTATGACTTCCTTGACAACTAAAACCATGCAACATGCAGTAAGAACCTACTAGAGACAAGTATATTGAATGAAGTTTCAATGAAATGTAGAGAAAATTTCTATGAAATGGCAAAGAATGTTGTCTTGTACTTGAAAATCTCCTGTACGTTTTCTGGGCCCATTATGATCTTGGTATAACTTCAGCTATGTGTCATTTCCAGTCAATTCTTTTTGACACTCAGGGAGTAACCTTAAGTACATTCCCCTTGGAGCAGAATCTGTTTCTTTACTCTATCCAGCTTGCCAAATGAAAGACTTCATGTGTGCATTTATTTCATTGTAGATGACGTCAAGAAGTTACTGAGGGAACTGGATGTCACAAATGCACTTTTATCCCACCTGGTGCCAGAAGGTAGCTTACAATATTCCTTGTGCAAAAATACTCTCAAAAATATTTTTCTATTGTCATTTGATCAGACAATTTAATAAAATCCTCCATGTAACTTATGATTTTTCATAATATATATTAAATAGGTAATCACTTTTATAAGCATAGCTCATTTTTTCACTGAGTAATGTTTTATGCTGTACAGATGGAGCAACAAGTTTATGAAGAAATAAGGTATGATTAACAGCTAATGTTTATTTACTTTCAAAAATGTTTTAAACCACCAGATTAGTGAGCATATATTGTGCTGAATAAACTTGATCAAAATATTTCTTTCTTTTTTTTTCTCCTATAGAAGATGTGGTTATTCATGAATTTGCTACTCTGTGTCTGGCACAAATGGCTGTTGAATATACTACTAAAGTACAAATATTTGAGCAAGGTGGATTAGAACCACTTATCAGACTACTAGATAGTCCTGATCCCGATGTTAAGAAGAATTCAGTCGAATGTATCTATCTCCTGGTACAGGTGAAGTTTACTGTTGTTTTAAATTACAGAGAGATAAACATTTTCAGTGGGGTTAATAATTTTAAAATATTTGGTTCCTTTACTCTTTAGGACTTATCAATGTATTTTAAAACATTAAATGTCACACCTGGAACAGGTTGCTCAGAGAAGCTGTGGATGTCCCATCCCTGGAAGTGTTCAAGGCCAGGCTGGAGTAACCTGGTCTAATGGGAAGTGTCACCATCCATGGCAGAGGAGTTGGACCTGGATGATCTTTAAGATCACTTCCAACCCAAACCATTCCACGATTCTATGATTAACTGTGAATACAGCTCATTTCACTGTACTACTATTCAACTGAATGCAGTTATCTGTGCCGTACAGCAGCATGAGAACAGAACTGGATTCAGATGTGTTTTCAGTTAAATAGGAATATGTTTTCTTATTTGGAAAATATTAGTCTTAGTAATGGGAGTTATAACCTGTGTATCCAAAAGGTTGGAATAATTCTAGAACTATAGTAGTAATTGCATTGTGCCTTGTCTTGGCCAGCATGTCCATAGTCACAGGTTTTGAACATCTTCCTAATGATAGGTGACTGCTGTCAACAGCTACTTTCCATACTGGAGGAATAGATTTGTTATTGGCTACTTTCACACTAAGCACTATTGTCATCCATATGCTGCTTAGCAAAAGAATGGTGCATTTGTATGTCAGTTCTCTTCCAAGGCTTAAGCGAATCAATTCAGTAATGAATTCAGTTTATAACTCTATCTCTTTTGGGGCATCAGAGCATGTCTATTCAGAATCACATTTTACTCTTTCTCCTCTTTTACTATCTCCCTGTCTTTGTTGCAGGGTATATCTGGATAACTGCACCTGGTGCTTGCTTATATTGATAAGGATAATTGCATGCTGCACATGTGCAATAAGCTATTTAAAAGCAAATTGTAATTTATTTATATTTTTTTCTATTTTAATATAATCTACTACTGTCTTTTTATTAAGCAGTATATACATTGTTTAAAGTTGAAAATTTTAATCATTATTTTATAATTACTGAAACAAAAGAAGAAGTAACCAGGCAACCACAGTGTACTGTTAAAACTAGTTTCTCCCCCACTGAGATGAATAAAAATGATGAAACGAAATTTTTTAAACTTTCTCAAAAAAATGTGTGTGTTGAGACAAACATGGCAAAACCAAGAGTAAACAGACTTCTTTAGCCATAGCTAGATACTGTAGGGTATACTTCAGTAAAGCAAAAAAAATTGTATTTTAAGGTTAGGGGGGAGGTTGATCATACTCAGTTTGATTCTTAGCAAAGAAAAATGAAATCTTCAGAAACTGATGTTCTTCTGTATTGGCTCGTTTTTGTATGTTTGAAATCAGATTTTTGGCGTTCTTTTCTCTAAAGTCAGTAATTGCTGTACTGCTGTATTTTCACTGACATTCTTTGTTGAATATTTTGCTACAGGATTTTCAAAGCCGTGCTGCAGTTTCTGAACTGAATGTAATTCCACCCTTGCTGGAACTACTGAAATCCGAATACCCAGTTATTCAGTTGTTAGCCCTTCAAACCTTAGAAGTCATTAGCAAAGACAGAGAAACCAGGATAATACTGGGAGAAAATCAAGGATTAGATTGTCTTCTGAAGATACTGGAAACCAATGTACAGTTTACTTGCCTTAAGAGTTTTTTGTTCTTGCCACTATTGTTTGTATAACTAATGAGAAATATTGGTGTTATAGGAGAGTGATAACAGAAAAACCAGTTCCTTACTTGGAGCTAACTATGATAGAAACAAGATAAGCTAGGATACCTAATTTAGTAGAAGAGGTAGCAAAGGGATTAAAATTGTTGCCATATTGTTTTGCATCTGCAGTCCATTTCTCAAACTATTGTAAATATCAGGAAAAACTCACCATGTAGCTTTTAATGTTATGTTTTCTCAATTTTTTATTAGATGGTGAACTCTGGTAGTGGCTCACAGTTTGAATACCGATCTTGTTTTCTGCATTTCCTTTGATATTCATGGCTTTAAATATAATTTCCTACCTTGGAATTTTCATTGTTTATGTTATTATGAGACTCACTTTTGTGCATCTTGACTTCAGATGTCACCTAGGGAAATATAATAGAGAAATAGAGAAATTTGTGACATTTTTGAAATTCCAAAATGACAGGTCCTTTCTGAATACCTGCCTAACATATTTAGATATAAATGAGACACTTTCTTTTTTTTTTTTTTTTCTTTTTCTTTTTGTTAACTGTTTTTAGTAAGTTGTGTTCAATCCTAAGACACATCAAGGAAAGTATGTGACTAATATAAATATGCAAATATGTATTTTGTAATATAAACAAAATGTCCTAAAGAAAGTTACGACAATTATCCTACAAAGTTAAAAGCCTGAGATATTTTAATCCTGATTTGAAGGTTATTTTTTATGGGATTTTTTCCTTTTTAGGAATTTAACGATCTACATGTGGAAGCTCTTGCTGTGTTGGGAAATTGTCTTGAAGATGTGCATGCTATGCAATTGATTCAGCAGACAGGAGGCCTTAAAAAGCTGCTTTCATTTGTAGGAGACTCTACTGTTCCTGATATTCAGAAGAATGCAGCAAAGGCAATTGCCAAAGCAGCTTATGATTGTATGTGACTTTTTAAAAATCTGTGTATGTGAATTTGTTTGTGAAGTAAATTTTCATCCAGAATGAGGCTGTCTTATCTGGTTGAGGATAGTACTTGTGCTGAGGAAAACATTGCCAAGAAAGAATTGCAATGATGAATCTTGGCAATCAGAGCACAATTGGGTAATACATATATATGAATATTTTAAGATTTTGCCTTAACTTATTTTTAAATATAATGGATTCTTGCAAAATGCTGACTTCCTAAAGAAAAATGGACCTCTGAAAATACAACCTTTTTATTTTGTTTATTGATGCCAGATAACCGCCAAGTCACCACCATCTTAAACTGTCACCTCTGCTGGCACAATTTCTCATCAATATCAGTTAAGACTTAATCACAAGCTTAGCTCCTTTTGCATACAACTGCTCATCTAAATGTCAGGCAATTTCAAATACAAATTCCTTTAACAGGGACATGAAAAAAGCCTTTCAAATGGCTTGCAGATTAATATTCCCAGTGGAGTTAAATAGTTTCATTGTCATCTTTTTATAATTATTCGTCCTATGGTTCTTTTTATAGACTTTTCTATAATTCACCAAGGAATTCTGAATTAGGCAGAACATACTCATCACTTTTGCCCACGAGGATGATCTTTAAATAAATCTACATTTGAAATTCCTTCCATACATTGGTTTCTGAGTTGCAACATATGCCTAGGACTGCTATATAACAAAATGCAATGTAAGAAATAATATACTTCTGTCTATAGAAGATTTTGGTTCTGTCGAGGGATTTTGATGACAGTAACTATGACAGCAGAGCTTAAATATTTTGTTCATATTTCTGTCATCTCATGGTTGAGTCATGTCTTTAATTTAGGTTTATTTTACAAATATGCTGTCTAATTCAATGCATGGCTAAAACAATCTCTCCTTTCTACAGTATTTCAGACCTCCTTTCTTCTTTCCCCATTTTATCTTTCCACTTCTTTTCTCACCTTCCTTAGTTTGACTTTCTATTTGTAATTATTTTGTTTGTAAATGATATATTAAAATAATAGAGTCTACCTTTCCTAGTATTCTGTGTTTCTGTATGCTTTTATCATTCTTTGTTGGAAGCTTTGCAAATCACAGAAAATTATTTTCATTTATGTTTAGGTATCAGAGATAGGAAGGAACCGTCTTATGCCAGTGTTTTCTTTGTGTATTTTTCCTGCATTGTTATTTTATTATGCTACTTAGGACTGTCAGTATCATTTTTATAGTCCTGTGACAGGCTTGTAAGTAGTATGCTAAGTAGATTTATATTTGCTCCTATGACTTTCTATTGCATCTTCATCCTTTTTCATATTTATTTTCAAATAAGCGTAGCCTTCTTTCCCTCTTTCACTCCTTTTTTCAGTTTTTGTGGCCTAATATTTTAGCAGCTGTTAGTAGAAGCATGTCTGAACACAACATTTGTAAAGCGCGGTGGCAAGAAGTACACGTAATATATTGCAGTACAGCGTATGATCTTATATCATGGAATATTACCGTCAGTGAAGATGCATCTTCTTGTCATGTATCTTTACAAATGGAGTCAATGTGGTTTCATTATAAAGGTTTGCTCTCTTCTTCAGCCTATGACAGTTGGTATGGATGGAGCAAGATGGGAAAATAGATCAGAAGATTTAAAATATTGGCTCCCCAGCTGTAGAATTTTGGTGACAGCCAGTTAGATAAAGGGCAACGTGTTGTAGTGGCGCAGGAGAAACACAGTCCAGGTGCTGCTCAACATGGCCCCCAGAAGCACTGAATTTATTACAGATACCACGAGCTGCTGCTCTAAAGTTGGGCTTCCAGTGGAAAGAGAAGTGGCATTGGGGCCATTTTAAGGAATAGTCCAAAGACAATAAGATAATGGAAATATTTGTCACAACATGCAGTTGTTGTTGTTGTTTTTTGTTGGTTTTGTTTTTTGTTTTGTATTGTTTTGTTTATATCCTTGTTGTAAATACACCAAGCAGCCTCTTGTGGTGGTTTTACCCAGCTGGGCAGCTGAACTCCACCACAACTGCTCTCTCACTCCCCCTCCTCAAAAGAAGAGGGGGAGAAGAAAGTACACTGGGAAGAAAAGAAAAGGCTCATGGGTTGAGATAAGGATAATTTAATTAAAGGGAAAAGGAAGAGGGGAAAAAAAATAAAAAAACAAGCAAAGGCCATGTGGAAGCACAGAGAGAGGGGAAAAAACATTCTTTACTTGCTATCATCAAGCAATGTTTAGCCATGTGCTGGGAAGCAGGGCTTCAGTACGCAGAGCGGCTGTTTGGGAGGACAGACACCTTTATAGCAAAGCCCCCACCTCTCCTTCCCCTTTCCCACCTTTCATTGCTGAGGGACACCGTATATCCCTTTGATCGGTTTAGGTCAGCTGCCCTGGTGATGTCCCCTCTCCACCTCTTGCCCACCCCCAGCCTACTGTTTTTTGGAGGTTTGGAGGGAGTCCTCTATAACACAACACAGCTTGAAGTTCTTATATGGCTTTTCATTAAATTTGCAATAGCCATAAGGTTGCCCACATTCTTCAGATTTGATAATCATGGTTGTATTTTACGAACATTTCCTGCATGCATATTCCTGCATGCAAAAAAGTATTGTATTTCCTTAAATGAAGTATTTTACTTCTGCTATGACAGAACATGAATGTCTTTTTTAATCCTGTCAGGCAGGTATACGGCAGTGTCTGTTTTTGAAATTTTTTCTGTTTTTTTTTTTTTTTTTTTTTCCATGGTGTTATCATGGCAAACAGTTTTGTTTTATGCCCCTCTGAGCCCTTTAGAAAGGATTCCTTTAACTTTTTGTTGTTGTTTTATGTTATAAGACAAGCTTAACCCTTAAGAGCTATTCTCAGTTTCAGAATAACTTATGTGGCACAAACAATATGTTCAATTTTAAATAGCATCTTCAGGGTGCTACTCTGTTCGAGTGAGTTAAAATTGATCAAATTTCTGTAATCATTATCCTTTTGACACTGGAAATCTGTTTTGTTCTGTAACATAATTTTGAATTTAATATATCAATCTATCAGTAGTTCTATTAGTGTTGAATTTTATTGTGATTCCTTCCTTGCACAGCAAATAATGCAATCACCTCAGAATGCAAAATATAATTTAAAGCTGTCAATTTTTGAATACCTGTGAGTGGATTATCCTGACTTGTTTCAGGAGGGCCTGACTTTCCTCTGCCAACACTAGATGCACCACAACAGCAAAATGCTAGGGAATGTGTAAGGAGAAAGTGATGATCATGCTCACTCAAGTTTGGCTTCACTCTGCCAAAATTCTGGTTTCAAGCTCTCTGAGTTCTTTGCATGCATCTAAATGCAAATCTTTTCAAAAGAGAGCATACTAAATATGCTCTGTAACTTGATTAACATCTGTTTTTTTACAATACAAGTTTTTATATACTTGGGTTATCTCAAGATCAGTGGAAGTTTATGATACTATTTAATGACAACATTTTTTCATTTGAAATTGATATAAATAATTCCATAAACTGACATCCATGAGCTGAATGGATGATCAGCTGAACTCTTTGATCACAATTTTAGGGTAAGAAGGCGAAACAGGAAAACACACTGAAAAACAAAGGTTAGCTTGTGATGGGACCAATTTATGAAACACTGGACAGAAGTGTTAGTACTACACAGAAGTGTTAGTGTTAGAAGTGTTAGTGGTTGGGTATCTTATCCACCCTGAGTATTTTACTTAGTGTTAAATTAATGTATTCAAATGACTTAGGGGTCAAGAAATTAGGCACTGTAGATATGGTGTTGGCACTGAACATGAGAATTGCTTTAACAGAAAGGATGCTTTTCAACTCTTCATTCTTTCATTTCTAGTATAAAAACCAAAGGGAAAAGCTTGTACAAGCAGAGAGAGGATCAACAGAAAATATTCCTCCCTTAAATAGAATTGGTACCTGGATCTTAAAATGTTAATAATTTTCTGTTTATCTAGCTGGCTAAATATAGGTGCATATTGCTTACAGGAGATTCAAAATCTGTTTTTCCTCATTATTGAAAAATTCTTCATTCTGTTTAAAATACTTTAAATCACTATTTTTACTCATTCAAAAATTATTCATATTATTATAATGATGATTATTCTGACTTCATACAGGCATAAAATATCTTTAAAATTATCTTTAAAATGACTGTGTAAACAATGTTTATCTATCATCATAACTGTCTTTAAAAACAAGAACAATTTTAAGGAAAACCTCTATAGTACTAAGTAACTTGGTGTATAAGAACCAAATTACTGAGGCATGAAGAACCTCTAGAGATCATTATTAGGGATTATGGACTACTTTGGCAAGCAACAGGCCAGGGGCATACTTGATTACTTGTCAAAACGGTCTGTAATCCCAATTAAGGCCTTCTCTTGAGAGCTGGCTGATACACATCAAGGTTGTGGCCAAGGTTCTGCTGATGCTTAAAATCCTCCCTGTTTTATCTGCTGCGTGTTTTATGTTCAGATTTCAATCGCATATCTCAGATGATTCTAAAAGCAGTTAAAATTGAGCTAGTGAGGACAAAACAGCTAGCTTCTCATGTACGTGCAGTAAGCCTTTTGTGTTTTTTTTGGTCATACCTAGGTTTTCAATGAAATTGTCTTTTATTTGGCTTTGGGGGCTTACATTTCTTTACTTCTATTCTCCGTAAGTTCAGTTTTATTTAAAAGGATACTTCCACTGCTTTTCTTTTCTTTCTTTCTCTCTCTTTTTTTTTTTTTTTTAATTGATTAGACAACTAACCGCATAAGGCATTGATCCATGAAAGCGTTAGCAAGTATTAGTAAAATTTCCAAATATGACAAAGTCTTACAGACTTCTAGGTTCCTGAATTTCTTTGATACATTTGAAAGTTTTACCATGTAGATATAAATTCAAACATGTAATTAATCCACTTCAAATTATGCATATAGTTAAATTCTTTTTGCTTGACTCTTAACGGTACAGTTTATATGCTGTGCAGTGTCTTTCTGGCTAAGAAAGTTTGACTTAGAGCAGTTTCTAACAAATACGTGCATACTGGGAGAGGAGAGAGTTTGGACGTGTCCTCCAGACTTCTGATCTAATCCATTTGGGGCTAAGTGAGGTTGTTAACATACTCGTCAGACTCCTGTAGGTACTTTGCAGAGACTCTCTGTTGTTACTTATGTAGAGGAACATCTGTGGCTTTTCTTAGCTGCTGCATATAGTTGGTCATCAGTGAACCCTGCGTGACCAGGCAAAAATATGAAATTGAAATTCTCTGCACTGTGTGCTCTAATGAAGGACTGCAAGCTATACAGAATTTAAAATTCAATTTTAACTCCCCCTGCCTTTTTTTGGCTCTGAGAGCATGCTAACTGGTGTTCCACTAAATTCAGTTATACATTTACTAGTATGTTCTTCATTTTATGAATTTGAACTTTGTTAGCATAAACTGGAGTAAATATGGTCCTGAGTAAGTACGATCTACCGAATGGAAAAATCTCTTTTCATCATGTCTGTTGACATTATGTGAATTTAAGTTTTAAAGTGCATTCTGTTGGGCTGTGTGTGTTTAAAGCTGTATTTAATAGGCATCTTTTGGGCTTGATTCAGAGTTCACTGAAGTCTAATGGGCTTCGGATCAGGTCCTTTGTGCACATTTCTTAATTGCTGGTGCCTCCTAGCAAAATGTTTTAATTTCCATGGTATCAAAAGCAAGCGTTACATTAGAAACAAGTATATGAAATCAAATTCATGTCCTTTCACTGATTTGGAAAACAAATGCAGATTAATGCTATTGTTCTTTTTTGTTTAAAGCTGAAAATAGAAAAATCTTAAATGAGGAAGAGGTTGAGACCTGCCTCATAAACCTTTTGGAAATTGATAATGATGGAGTTAAAGTTGCTGCTTCCCAAGCAATTTCTGCCATGTGTGAGAATTTATCTAGCAAACGTGTGTTTGGACTCCAGGGTAAGTAAGGTGGGAAGGAACAAACTGGCAGTCTGTGCATTTTCCTTCTGTAAGGAACATGTTACGATTTTGCAGATTGTCGTGGTTTATTTGAAGGTTCATGTATACAACTGTTTGTTTTAAAGGGATTCCCCAGCTGGTAGAGTTGCTAAGCAGTAACAACGAAGAGGTGAAAGAAGCTGCAGTCATAGCATTAGCTAATCTGACTACAGCCAGTCCTAGCAATTCAAGGTGAGTCTGCAATAATTAATTATTTAAAACACTAATCTGAACACAAGTTATAATGTTTTGATTTTTAATGAATGTCTCATCTTGTCCTTATCATAAAAAATCTGTTTGAGTGTGTCTGTAAAGCTCTTTTTGGTGTTTATGAGTTGGCTGGATTAGGTTGGTTCTCATCAGTGTTACAAGACTTACATTATTTCCACTAACATTTGCTCTATCAGGGAAAGGTATGAAGCAGATGTAATGAAAGCAGAGACACAAATCATGTTTTGAAGAGAACATATGAGGAAAATATGCCTCATAATCTAAGACATTCAATGTGGGATTACTATTACTTATTTTTTAAATTCAAAATCAGTAAGGCATCCTTTAAAATTTGATGGTTCCTGCAGCTTTTTTTTTTTTTGACCGATTTGAGACATTATACACTCAGTTACTCTAAATATCAGCACCAACCTTCTTTTTCTTTTTGTTTCCCAAGTAATAGAGAATACTCACAGTGCACTCTCTAAAAGAAAATAAATGTAACTTCAGTATCCAGAATAATTAGCAAAGGTTGGTTAGCTGACTGTAAGCTCCAAAATAATTGTACCAACTAAATTCTACTGTCAGTTGGAGAGTTCTGCTATCCCAACTCTATTAAAAGTTCTGTTCAAGGAAAAGAAACAGAGCAGTCTGACGTATATGAGCAATCACATGTAACTAACAAACCATAAAATAAAATTCCTTAAAAGTTTCCTGGAATATACTCAAGGAAGTTGTAATCCATTCACAAGCATTCTTTGAAGTGAAAAAGTAAAATAACTCACCAAATAAATTATTTGTTTCAATTTATTGATCCAGCTCTAATAGTCACCAGTATTCACTTAATGTTACCAGATGGAGCCATAATTTGACACAAGAGAATAATACTCTGTTCTCAGATTCGCATAGGAGATTTTTTTTTGTCTGATTTTCTGCTCTCCTCATGTGCATGACTCTCCATTTGGTGTCAGTGGGAGTCATGCACACATAAAAAGAGCACAGTACTGGAGTCCAGGGGTCAGACTCTCAGCCCCGCTACAGCTGGTTTTCGTAGCACAGCCCTTTGAGGTTTCGCATTGTGAAAAGGGAGTCTCTGGAGAGTTTTGAGTTGGTATAGCAGCTTATGCCAACTCATTCAGTTTCTTTTGCCAAGGAGATAGTCAGGACATTGTTTAGCTCAACTGCTAGAACAATTCTCTGAGACCTCAGGCAGGGAAATAGCTGTCTCTGTTCCTCCGAATTATAATGGAGGCCGTATTTGTTTCTTGCTAGACAGAGTCAGAAAATTGTAAAGGTGGCTTGCATATACTTCTCTGTCTTTGCAATCCAGCTCCAACTACAATATGCAAGCACAAGATAATCTAATCACAGGTCTTCTGCGAAAATCAGGAAGCAATAATTTACATTAAATATGTATATTGGATGAATGCCATGTGACTATATAATTACTTCAAAGCTTCATTTCTAAATCAAAACCATTAATAAGTCATAGATGGCTCCAAGTGTGACTAGGATCTACAAATGAATATATAGAATTGGACCCTTGGCTGATACAAACTGGTGTAGTTCCAGCCCACTGACTGACTATCTGGCCCATATGTATTCTACATTTGTGTAATTAAGAAAAAAAAATTAGTGTGGAAAAAATGAATCCCAGATTGAGTTACCATAATCATATTTCATTCTGGAGTATTTTGTGTGTATGCCTTGTAAACCACTGAAAATAAGTGTATATATAATGAAGATGCTGATACACTTTTATAATGATGTGACCTTGCTGTGTAATTATGTTGACAATATTCTGGTCCCAAATGGGACTAATGAGACTAGTGCCCTTTTATTGGCTATGTATTAGATTCTTGTTAAAAACCCTCCAAGAATATTAAATCATAAAGCTAATAGTATGAGGAAGGCCTTATATGGCAAGAACAAGAAAATGGCTATAGTAGAGGGGAAGACTATTTACTGTAAATATGTTTTCACTATTTACCAGCCAGAATATAAAATTCAGTCTTGTTGAACTCATATGTGTGTTCTGCCACATTTCATTTAGTGCCCATTTTTGCATGTGTTAATATTAATTGAAGGATGAGTAGCTTGCCCTTTCTTTGTGCACAGTATATATTACAGAATGTAAACGGGACAAAACTGTGATTTTTGCCAGAGATTTGTTGTTCTTAGGAATATTTGATCAAGTAACATTGCTTGCTTCTCATATAATATGGAAGAAAATACAAGTTAAAAGAAACGTGTAATTAAGGCTCCCACTCCAGCCAGCTCATTAGGATAAAGTCTTCCATTGATTAATAACACAAGAGCAGCACAGGCAATGGGCAATACTGCCCCCCACTAATGTATATTAACCTTGACCTCTAGGTGCTTCCCCACAGCAATGAAAGGCTAGTTCTGTACCCTTGCCCAATCAATCCTTTGTTTCTCAACTGAGACAGCTAATAAAGGTGTCAAATATGGTGGAGGTTTTGTAATTAGAACACCTGTTCACAATGTACGGGACAGAGACCAGCTTGTCATTTCACACCAGTCCCCAAGCAACTGTTATTTGGCAAAAGTAAATAAATTAATCAATGACTCCAGCCCTCGCAGTATTTTAAGCAAAGGTCTAGAGCAGAAGAGAACATGAATCCAATACCAACAATTTGAGTTTTCAGGCGTACTGGAAAAAATAGATTTTCAATATGATATCCACCAGGATACATAAAAATTACTGCAAATAACTTTAAAAATATTCCATCATTTAAGCTTTTGTTGCATAACTGATGTGGTCATGCTTCAGTAACACATAGAAAAAAAATACAGGAGTAAAATGCCCTCTGATGATGCTTTTATCCAAATTTTATCATAAAGTATGAGAGAATTGAAGCAGTTCTGTATACTGATAATAAACTGTTAACCTGAAAATAGTTGGGTAAATAAAAATAAAATTGTGAAGTATGCTGCAGTTTAGAATCCCATGTACTTACTCTAACATATGGCAAAGAAATGGTTTGGGGATGTTACTATGCGCATAGCTCCGAGGCCATCCTTCAGATATGTGCCAGAATTTGTTTCTGTTTGCCTGCTTCTGGGAAGAAAAGAATTGTATTCAACTAGGTATTTGCATCCACTTTACATTTTTTAAATCCAGAACACTAACTTGCATTGTTGAAAACTGTATACAGTTATTTGGATGGCTGAATGCCATTTTATAGTCTATGAAATCTGTCCATTTTTGATGTGTCCAGGCATCAGGAAATGTAGGCACAGTCACTCCAGTAATGTGCATTATGCGCAAATTGAAGAATTAAACACAAATAAAGAAACAGCAGTGCCATCTATTGGACAGAAAAACAAGTTGTTCTGTGTTACACAACTAGCTACAGAACAAACGTTTTACTTTTTCCTCTGCCGTTATTTTCTTGTTTAAAGTATAACCAATTACTTTTTCTCATCGTGTATTTGGGGTAATCTAACTGTGTTAAATATAAGCATGATATTGGTTAGAAGTAACACGTAGAAATAAGATCTCAAATATACTAGTTAGGCATTAGTTAATTTGGCCAACCATTTTCTTCAGTATTGTCTTAGCACAAATGCCATTTCTAGTAGCTGGCCTCATAAATCTGCCAGTGGCTGAATTGTGGGCATCTACTGGAGTTACCACTAAAGAAAAACATGAAAATTTTCAGCTTTCTAATGAACATGAAAATTAATTATCAGCCTCAATAATATTGGTCTTTAATTGTTTATTTTAAATGCAAAATCGATAGCACTCAGTTGGTTTGGTCTGGGGGAAGAAGGAAAGGGATGAATATTGTTCATCTGTACTCAGTACTGCAGGAAATTGTGGTACCCGACAGCCTGACGATCTGGCAGAATATTTCTCCTGGGGTTTATAATTAGTGTCATGTTACATATTTCTAAGAATCCTATCCGGACTCAAGATAATAAAATATCATCCCAAAAACTGCAAAGTCAGCAAGCTTGATGTTACTTCATTTTCTAATTCTTGAATTCTTCAGAGGAATCTCTGGACCTGTTTACAGCAGGAAAATTATGTCTGTATAGGCATTTACAGGCATTATTACAGCATCTGAATGTGTGCTTTGTGAGATGTACGAAGATTTCCATGATCTGGGAGTAGGCTTGGAACAGGAACATAGGTTGGGATCTCATTGCTTAGGGGCAATGCCCAGTGAGGAGAAAATTAGTTTCTCCCTTGACTTCAGTGGGTTTTGCATCTATTCCAAACTGAAATTCATATCCTGATCTAACGACCCAAAATACATCCTTAGTCTCTTATGAGTGGATAGGGCTCACCTGTAGGGCTCACCCTCTTAAAGGGAGATTATCATTATCCACAAGAAATTTTTATTATTTTTGAGAAGGGTCTGGCTGTCAAGGACTCAATTTAAAGACTGTCCAGTTTCCTTACATTTCAGCTGTTGTTTATATCATTAAAAAGTAATGATTATTACCATTAAGTAGTAATATCATTAGGTAGTAATCTTGCCTATTAGAAAATGGAAAACTTAATTATCAATTTTCTTTTTCAAGACTGTCAATGGGTACTAATTCACGTAAATGGATGAAAATTGAAGAGTCAGTATTTCATGAATGTGTTAATTTATGAGAATATAAAAAAATGTCTAGCATGTGAGTGTTAAATTTAAAAACAGAAATAGGCAATAATCCATAATAGAGGTTTTGTCTTTTTTATGGTTCAACACAAGTTTGTGTTGCTGAAGGAGGAAATCAACAATGGAATTCCTCTAACTGTATTGAATAAAGGTAATATGTTTTAATACTGACCCCTAGTGACAGAATTACATTTTTGAGCTATTATTCCGCAATGAAAAGGGATTTTGTTGGGTTTTGTGGTTTGAACTGTTATTTTTACATTAGCACCCGTTCTGCAGAGCCCTATACAAGTACATCCAGTTAACTGATGCCATGAATAGATTCCTGGTTTGACTTTCTCTCAC